ATAATCAACTTCAACTGAGATGGAGAGAAGATCAAAAAACTGGATTAATGTTGCATGAAGAAGAATTGGTTAGACAGATAAAAGAGAAAGGCCCAATGCATATTAAGAGGGTTTATAATGTTTTGTTAGAAAGAGACTCGGAAAATGAACTGGTTAAAGATTGTATGATAAAATGGGTGCAAAAATTTGCAGAACCAGTTATGATGGAAACGTGGGAAAAAATATGGGTTCAGAATGTTAAATTTACACAGTCACAGAATTTGAGGGAAAAATTTTATAAAATGTTTTATAGGTGGCATCTAGATCCCAAGAAATTGCCGTGCATGTATCCTAATGTTCAACCAAAATGTTGGAGATGTGATTGCTTAGATGCTACATATTATCATATATGGTGGACCTGCAAGAAAGTGAAGGTTTTCTGGATAAAAATTTGGTGGGTTATGCAAAATATTCTGAAGAAAAAACTCCAATTTTCTCCTCAATTGTTTTTATTGGGTATAGTTAAGGGCTTTTCAGTGGGTGAAACAAAATTGATACTGTATATGGTGACAGCAGCTAGGTTACTGATTGGTCAATATTGGAAAAGGGATGTTATGCCTACAATTGAAGAATGGACTTTGAAGGTGGCCAGTTTTGCAGAAATGGTGAAGATATCAGCATACTTAAAAGACCGGACTCAAAAGACCTATGCATGGGAGTGGAAGAAATGGATAGATTATGTGCAGAATAAATACCAAACTAGGAAGTACCAGATAGCTTTTAGCTGAATGTTGTGTAGAAATGTATAGTATATAGGGGGTAGAATAGCTCAATGTTATGTAGAAATGTATAGTACACAGGGGGGGAGAATAGAAGGGTGGTAAAGTATGATATAATATAATGTGGATGGATTTCACCTTGGGGAAGTCATGGGAGGAGGGGAGGGCTAGGGAGGGTTAGGGAGGGAAAGGTGGGGGGAAATGGGAAAATTTGTATTTGTAAAACTTTTTTAATAAAAAAAAAAAGGAAGCTGGACATGATTTGAAAGTGTCCACAAAGATGTCAAGAGGGAGTTTCTGACATCTGGCCTGAAGAGATAAATAGCTAAACAAAAAGTTGTTGAATTGATTAATATTTGCCTGCAGAAAGGAAGGAAAACATTTCAACAATGAAAACAGTTTCTTTTCTCTACCAAGGAAAACATGCCCCTCTGAATGTGAAAAGTATTTTTAGAGAAGTAAATATTTAAGTTATCTATTCACTGTGTGTCTTCTTTATATCATTATTACATACCATTAAGTTAATATTGATTTTTCACAAACAAATAAGACTTTCTCCAGCATTACTCAGCCTCAACCTGAGCTCTTAGATTACGCAATATTGTACCCATGACCTTTCTAATCAAATCTCTCCACCTTGTTGTTTGTCTTCTCCTCCTCTTCCTCCTCCTCCTCCCCTTCCTTCCATTTTCCCAGCAAGAAAACTAGGTCTTCAAATAATGTATCACAAATATAATAATCTGATTCCTGCAATTTCAGTTTCTACTGAAATTTGTTTTGTGAAGCATTAGTTTGTTTTCTTGGCAATCCATCTCCTTCTCGCCTTTCCTCAACAAAAACTTTTAAGATTCTTTTCACTTTGCTTCCAACTTTTGCTGCCACAGATTGTCATAGGTAAAATCATTGCCTGCGTATTCTGATCTTTGTTGTAACAGATGTATTAAGATCTCTGAATACCTTTTTGAAAGCCTTCATGGATATCTCGTCAGGTGCTAGTCTGCGATCTATTTTTTTTTTTACTGCCTTTTCCTTTACAATTAATAGTCAATTCTAAAATATCTTCATTGTAAATTCTAAGACTTGTTGTTATACCCATTGTCATTGATTTGGTTTTTGTATATCATTGTAATTTCATTTTTTACTGTACTCCTTGACCTTCATCACTATAGCTTCCTGATAATTTGCATTTTCAACTATCAAAATTGTATCATCATGGTTTATATTTCTCCCTCAAATTATAACTATGCTCATCTTCTAATACACCCTCCCCCTAAAAGGGGGTTTACAAAATCTAAAGCTAACAAGTATGCAGGCATCTGCCTCTTTTAAGCTCTTTAGTGAAATGTATTTAGAAGAATGGAATAGATTACAAGAATTCCAGCAATTAAATTATTTTCAGGTTAAAATTAACAGATTCCTCTATATACTAAAGCAAACACTCTTTTTATTTTATTTTATTAAGTTAAAAAACATACACACACAGAAAAAGAAAAAGTACAAGTAAAACAATACATATACAACATTTAAACTTAGTGTCTTATTTCTTAAGATAGTACATCGGTAACTTATATTTCTCAATATCTCTATGAACATCTCTCCTTATATAACGATATTTTTAAGTTCTATCTTAACTCTAATAAGTCTCAATTGGTACATGAATTAGTTCAAGTTTTTAGGGTCGTCTTTACTTTGTTTTCTTTTTCTCCAACCATTAATATCATTTTTCCCAAACCAAGTAGTATTCAGATTCTTCCTTTTCTTGGAGTTCTTTGGTGAGTTTGTCCATCTCAGCACATTCCATTACTTTCTATATTAATTTCTCTTGCGTTGGGATTTCTTGTAATTTCCAATTCTGTGCGAAAATGATTCTCGCTGCGGTCAAAACGTGTGTGATTAAATATATTGTTTCTTTTTCGTAATTTTTAATGAATATACCTAATAAATATGTTTCCAGTTTTAATGATATTTTTTGTGCTGTTATTTCTTCCAGTTGGGTTTTGATTTTATTCCAAAATTGTTTTGCTTTTGAGCATAACCACCACATGTGGTAATATGAAAGCAAAGACTCTTTCTAATTGACGTCCAACAAACTAGTGAGGTTCTTCATTGATAATAGAAAAGTTTGCAGCTGGTTGTTAATAAATTAGGGATATAACTGAGCTTCTGCAGTTCATCACAGGATTAGTTCTGTTATCTCTCAATCATTATGTTGAATGGGGGCATCCAAGGGTCTCAGGAATTCATAATTCCTAGGCCACAATGGGCTTATGTAAGCTTTAGTCACACAGGTGTTTGTTAGAAATGTCTCTTCGTCTCAGAGCAGTTGGTAGCTGATCTAAAGATGTAGAACATTGTGGTGTGTCCTTTGCTATGATTAGTTCACCCCTTAACAATTGAGAATAGTCACTACTCCAAAACTCCAAAGTATGAGTCAACTATCAATATAGTCCTTCCCAGATCTCTTTTCAATCCTACTGAATTCTATTGAATTCTTGCAGATTTTCCCAGCAATTTGATAGGCAGTTCTGTCAAGTACTCAGTAGATTTCTGGAATATTGAGATAATCAAAGTTCTTGATTGGAATACTCCAATCCTAAACTCCCCACACCTGGTGGAGAGTATTGGTTTTAATGCAGAGCAACTGGTAGAGAAATAGTTTGCTTCTTCTCTCCAACATTTGATGTTTATACATAAATCAGGCACTGAAGAAATAACATACTTACATTTAACTTTGTATGTAAGTACAACTTCGCTAGTATGATTCAAACTATGAATGGCTATGAATATATAGTACTGAGCAGATGTATAGAATAGCATTCTTTATTGGCCAAGTGTGATTGGACACACAAGGAATTTGTCTTAGTAATGTATGTAATGTATAGTCACCGTGGTTTAACCTTTTTGATAATAAAGATCAGGATAGTTTAAAAAAAACGGTACTCTTTCTAGTGGCAACATAAATCTTTGAAAGCTGGAAACTGAGTTAGAACAAAAAAGCACTAAAAAGGCTGGATTTGATTGAGGATTGAGTATTAAAATTATCTATCGTAATGCAGGGTATCTCTTCCCAATTCCCATGGTAGAGAGTAGAAACCAGAAGAAGGAAGTTGGAAAAAATGGTTGGAAGGAAACGTTTAAAACTTTAAAGAAAATATTTTTTTTAAAAAAAAACCTCTCTCCATTTATCTAGATTAATGCAGAACTAAAGACCTACCACCCCACACACCACCTTTACTTGGAAGTGAAGTTGCATGAAACTTTAAACAATCTTTAATTTGCTCTAAAGATAAGTACAATGCCTCAAGCATATATTGGGAAAGAACACACCCTTAACTTGACCTTATCCCATACTGATATCAGCTGAGCCTTGATCCAGTTTAAGACAACTCTCTGCACTTGGACAGCTTTAGCACAGCTTGTCAGCTGATCAGTCTAAATTATCTAAGGCTGCCAATAGGCAAATCTGCTGCATGCCAGGAAAACAATTCTCAATTTACTTTCTGTAGGTGGATTTTATTGAATAAATATACTTTTTGGAAAATTTAATCGTTAAGCTGAAGCATTAGAATGAACACCTATGCACACACAGCAACAAGCTTTAGAGGAAAAATTCTTTTCCTGCCTGTTCCCAGCTCTGATTCCCTAATCTATTGTGTAATTGATACTCTCTAAATACTGCAGTAATATGATGGCTAAATCATTTGCTTTGCATGTCCAAGATTCCTGATTGAACAGAGGCATTTTTTTAATAATTGTAATTATAATTTCCATGAGCTATCCCCTTTTTTAAAAACTCAACATTTTATAATTTTTGTTGTCAATTGAGAGAGAAGCCTAATCCCAGCCTGAACCCACCATTTCCCAATCCAAGGCCTCCATTCAATCCCCCTCCTACTCTATTCCTGCTATGGCTTTTATTGACCAAGCTACTCAGGTTCAATTTCCTTGTTAAGCCTTTTCATATCTCCTTTTTTAAAGCAAAGGTTTTCTTAATGAAGGAACTATCCTGTGCAGTTTTTTTTGCTCTTGGATAAACTTTTGGAGAATGTTTTGACTAAAATTCACTAGTGTTCCAAATGTGTTCCAAATTCCCCATGTTATTACTTACTGGTCACCTAAGCCTAATTAATTACTTCATATTGAGGCATGATCCTTGTTATCAGTCAGTATTTTTGAGTGTTTTATTTAGCATATTATTTAATTCCTAGAAATGTATTCCCAAACTCAAACAACAAATTAGGATTAGGAAAAATGATATAAAGTATTTATTGTATATATGTTTTCTTCTCCAATTCAAAAGAAACCAGAGAAGTTATTATTAAAATATCAAAAGGAACGATAAAGATGCATACAAAGCAGTCATTTCCACTTCTGATGAGTACATCCATGCAATTTTCTAAACATTACATAAATGTTTCACTATAGCCTTATTCTACTATGGATGGTGGTGAGGTGGGTTATTTTGTTGTCTTGATTTCCTGCTCTTACTAACAAACAATGCTGGAATACTTATGCAGTTCTGCTGCAATCAGGGACTGCTCTACTTAGTATCGGAGATCAGTCCAGATCAGTTAGATGCTACCACCTGCTGTACACTTAATGTATAATGATGCAAAGCAAGAAAGCAGTGTTTGAAATATTCCTTTTAAAACCATCGAAGGCAGAAAGCTCTTTCTTCTATCCAATTTTTTAGCATTTTTCTCTCTCCCATCTTCCATTACATCCATTTTGCATAGGTTGTTAGTGATTTTCCTGTGGATTTAAACAGCAAAATATAAATATTGGACATAAAAATAAAGATGTTACTAAGGCATAAATTTGTGCACAACTACTATCATCATTTATATTCCTTTACATATTTATTGTGTTTAAGTAGCACTGAATCTGGATCAATTCATGACTCTTTACAATGCAAATGCCATACTTAAACTTTCCTTGATATCTATTTCAATTTATGCTCCTAATAACACTCACCAGTGCCAGACTATAATCAGAAAAACCAGTACCATTCATGGTTAACTTTTTGTTATCTGTAGGAGGTAAGAAATTATATACACATCTACTCTGATCAGATAATATTAATTACAATATTAATTAATTAAGGCTCAAGAGTCAGGATAAAATAAAATGCAAAATTCAGTAGCTAATTCAGCTAGTCCTCAATTTATGACTGTAATGAAGCCTGCTTATTACAGTTACACGATAAACATTGAGGGGTGCACATGATCACCTTGCTTAATTACCTCAATCCATGCTCTCACTGATGTGGTCATTAAGTGGCCAGGCATGTTGTTAAGTAGATCATAGAGTGCCTCAGATAGGGAAGGCCCTAGGAGGCCTAACACAGGGCCAGGCAGGCCACAATGCAGCACCAGCCCAGCATACAAGTGGCCTACCATCCCCACACACTGTGATGGCTTCCTGTCTTCCTAGGTCCACACAGACCTTGGGCCTACATCCCACCCCATTGGGTCCCACACTCTCCCATCATAGCTTGGCCCACTTACATTTTATACAGATTTCCTTCAGGAAGCAGCTGCTCTACCACACACCCTTCTTACAAGGAGGCCACATGGCACCATTTCAGAAGTGGGTGTCATTTTGGAAGCGGCTGCAATAAATTGCGGCCGCTCTAAAATGACACTCACTTTTGGCACAACACCATGTGGCCTCTATTCAGTACTCAGGCCTTGGGATAGATCAGCCAGCTGTCCTTCCCGAAGGTCAGTTACTCTATGTAGGAAGGCCATATGACAGAGAGAGGCTGCTTTCCAAAGGAAAAGTGAACCAAGCTGTGGGGAGGGGTGGGGAGAAGGGTGTGAGACCCAGCCAGATGGGAAACAGGCCCATGGACTTAGCAGAATGAGAAATAGGCCCAGGTCTTGGCGAAAGGTAAGTGAGGAGATTGCTGCTGCATTCCTGCACGCAGTTGTAAGAGCAGGTGGATTGCCAAGCACACGACTTTTGTTCACAGGGCCACTGTAGTGGCTGTAATTATGGCCAAGGATTGTAAGTTTCTTTCTTCATTTTGAACATGTTCCTGAGCATCATAAGCAGACTACCTGTAGGCCTGAGTTTAATCCACTTTAAACCACTTCTCTTTAGTTCTGATGACAAATTCAACTGGTGCCTCAGGCCAATTAGGATAGTAACTCTGGCCCAGAGGAATACAAAGACATTTCTCAGCCTTATTTAGAAGATAAAGTATCAGTTTTCAATCAAACCCAATAAAATCATTTTATTTTAGAAGTGCTCTTTAGGCCCATTCACTTCCCCTGAATACTTAAGATAGATACCCTGCTCAGGAGAACCTGGACAATGCGCTTGACCCATTGAGCTGCTGGATCCAGGCACCTTTTATTCCCATCCTTCAAGACAGCTCTGATAGGTAAAACAGAGAAAATGGCTGGATGAATTAACTACTTTAGTATAACCATCACTCTTTATAAGAAGAGGATATAATCAGGCCAAAAGACACTTACATGACTTGCAAAACATTGCAGTGTGATCCAGGCTGGATTAAGTGTATAGAACTAATAAGGCTTGGTGAGATAGATGAGGTTACATGGTCACACTCACACCTGTTTCTATTCTCACGGCGATCTGTGGAGATAAAGAAACCAGAAGAAACTTGGATGCTAGACAATACATCCAAACTAGCTCCATAAGCATTGCCTTACATATTAAGCCTGCAGATTGTTTATCTGAGGTACAAGCAGTAAGACAAAATGCACCAGAGGATGTGAAATTCAACCCTGGTTAGCTTTTGCAGTGCATAAACAGTATCTTCAGTCTCTAAAATGACTTCGTTGCATTTCAATTTCTTGCTCTTCTTTAAAAAAAAATATTATTGTTTTTGCAAAATACAAATAATACTTTTTGTAAAAGTAAAAAGTGTTAAGTGAATAGCAAAGGAAAGAAAAAAGAAAGAAGAGAAAAAGACCACATAAAGAAGTGGCTTCTAATCTTTTTTACAGTTACAGAGCATTTATATTTTATCCTCTCTAAACTACACAAGAGCTTTCTTAACTCTTATTATTATTACAAAATGAAGTATAGTATTATTAGTACTAATTGCATTACTGTTATTGCAAAATGAAGATATTTAATGTTTTTATTATTACTGATATATGTATATGTATACACGTGTGTGTACACACACACATGCTACAATAATTTTCCTTCTAAAGACCTTTTCTTCCTCAGCAAGTTCACATAGAATCAGGGGCCTTTGTCGGTGGAGCTTCGTTTCGTTTCATTTCATTTCATTTCATTTCTTGACTAAGGAACCCATAAGCCTTTCCTACGCTTGACTCGAGGAAAGACGGGAAAGAGGCCGCCGCATTTCCTCGAGCACGAGAGCCAATTACACGGAGAAAGCGGGTCTCACGCCCACACATGCTTCCCGACCACTCGCTCGCAAACCCGGTGTAAAAGTGAGGCCAGCTTACTTCGGGGTGGCAAGGCGTTCCGGGTCGATGGTATCAGGACCATGAAGAGGAAAAGAAACTGAAAAGACGCGCTTAAGAGTAGGCGGCCCATCTTTCATAGAGGAGTCTGGAGGATGTTCTGGAGTGCTCCCTCAGCCATCTCTGCGGTCTATTTATGCCTCCTCGAAGTGGCGGGGCTCAAGATGAGCCCATTCTCCGTCTTGGTCTGGATTGCATAAGCACCAAAAAAAAAAAAAAAAAGCAGAAGGGCGAAACGACGGGACCGCGGGTTGGCGTGGTAGGCTGAATCCCTCCTGATGGAAGCTAGTGAGATTTTTTACATAAATTTTGGGAAAGAGGAAGAGCAGACTCGAGTATGCGGGCCATTTTCCAACCATTTCTGGAACTTCTGTGTCTTTTCAACATATACACGTGCACATATTGTAAGCATTGCATTGCTCCCCTTAATCGACCTGTAAAAGAGCAGCTAACTTCCTTCCACAATTGCATGTTTCCATCTATTAATTTGGGTTTTTCCCCCAATCCATACTATAACCAATTGTGTGACTATGTGTAGATTCTTTCTTTTTTCCTTAATTCTTAATTTCGTTAATGAAAAATTCCTTTCAAAGTTATTTTGCAGAAGGGAATTCTGAAATATTTTCATGGTTTAGGTATGTTATTCCTACGATTAGGAGGAAAGCCAGAGGGTGCTTCCATTAAACTGGTGCATTGTCACAGCTAAGAAGGTCTACTTTTGAAAAATTCTTTAAAATATTTTCCTCCTGGAGAATTTTGGATAAAAAGAGTATCCAAATTTATAGCCCATTAGTTTGATGGAGAATTTCAAACACAATTTCTGCCCAGTTTACTCTGAATTGGTATAATGGTTTGGACTTTTTAGGTTGCAATGTAAACCATTGTAATGAAGGTTAAGGATTATTGATGATATGGATCTCACTTTTCTTAGCAATATTTTATTTTTTAAAAAAAACAGCAGTATAATTACAATGTAAAAATGTGCAAAGCACAACTTGATAGCTTTGCTGTATTCTTTTACAAGCATAGGTCTTGCTTTCTTTACTGTTTTCAGTTAACCTGTGATAAAATCTGATAAAATCTGGAATTTAGTGTGGCAGGAAGCAAAGCATGGAAAATGTTATTATCTAAAACTAATTACAGGAATTTATTTTTTTAAAAAAAATATGTACATTTCTAAAAAGTTAGAAGAAATTTGTGACTATTATGGGGGGAAGGAAGGTGGCTAAATGAAATCTGACGCGTTTTTGCAACTCAACAACAGGAAGGAATCTGTTTCTTCAGACTATTTCAAGCTCCCCCATGTTTCTCAGGAATGCTGTGTTGTTTGTTTTCCTCCTCAAAATGATGATTTTATCTTTTCTACAGTACTGTACTTGAGTTCAAAATAACTCAGATGGGAGCCTATCTGCATTCATGAAGGCTGCTCAAGGTATTAGGGATGAAGCATAATCCTTATTATTTTTCTTTCAATTTGAATGATTGCATAAAAGGGTTTGAAAAGTATGCATATAGGAAACCACTTTATGTCTGATCAAAGCTGATTGTATGATGTCTGTATTGTGGAAGAAGTTCTCTGAAGTATCATGCTGAGACCGGACAAATACCAGAGAGTGAATATGCACAAGAGATAACACATTGCAACTGAGTTTTACCTTTCTTTCTACCTCTATCTGTTGGCATGCCCAATTTTTTCTTCCCAGTTCTCTAACAAAGGCTGGCTACTTTCTAGTAAGCAATTAAAGTAAGGTCATCAAGATCCTAGTGAAATACAGACTAGTGACTTCTAAAAGATTTAGAATAGAATAACAGAGTTGGAAGGGACTTTGGAGGTCTTCTAGTCCAACAGCCCGTTTCCGGCAGGAAACGCCATTTCAGCCAAATGGTTATCCAATCTTTTCTTAAAAACTTCCAGTATTGGAGAATTTACAACTTCTGGAAGCAAGTTGTTCCACTGATTTAATTGTTCTAACTGTCAGGAAATTTCTCCTTAGTTCTAGGTTACTTCTCTCCTTGATTAATTTCCATCCATTGCTTCTTCTCCTGCCCTCGGGTGCTTTGGAGAATAGCTTGATTCAGTCTTCTTTGTGGCAGCTCCTGAGATATCGGAACACTGCTATCATGTCACACCTAATCCTTCATTACATCAAACTAGACATACCCAATTTATATGTTTTAGCCTCCAGTCCCCTAATCATCTTTGTTGCTCTTCTCTGCACTCTTTCTAGAATCTCAACATCTTTTTTACATCGTGGCAACCAAAACTGAATACAGTATTCCAAGTGTGGCCTTACCAAGGCATTATAAAGTGGTATTAACACCTCACGTGATCTTGATTCTGTCCCTCTGTTTATGCAGCCCAGAACTGTGTTGGCTTTTTTTGGCGGCTGCAGCACACTGAAGGATCATATTTAAATGATTGTCCACTAGAACGCCAAGATCCCTCTCACAGTTACTGCTATTGAGCGAGGTACCATATAAACTGTACCTGTGCATTTTGTTTTTCTTGCCTAAATGTAGAATCTTACTTTTTTCACTATTGAATTTCATTTTGTTAGATAGCGCCCAATGTTCAAGTTTTTTTGTTTTTATTATTCTTTTTTATTATTTCACTTGTGGTATCAATGAAAATACATTAGAATCAGAAATAGATGGGTTAAATCTTGCTGCCAAATTAAAATACAGTAGTAGAAATCACAGATGTCCAAGATATTGCTTGAATGATTTTGTAATCTGGAAAGAGAGGCAAATTATTCAATCACACTCATGTACTGTATATACTCACATCTAACAGATAATGGAAAAAACCAGTAAAGCAAGGTGATGTATAACATAGTTCCACCTTGCAAGTAAAAGACATTCTAGAATACATCATTAACACCAGATTTGCATATTATAGAGTTGAGCAACATAGAAAGATATTTTCACAAGGATCCTTGATAATTAAGAATTGAAAATTTTCCTGACATGTTTTAATATAATACTCTGGTTAGCCTTCCCCCCCACCCACCCACTTCAATATCCAAGGAAAGTGGGGCTAATAGGAAATAGAGCATGATGCATTTAAGAGAGATATGTTTAAATATGTGTATCTTTACTGATACAAGCATAGAAATGTTTAAATACAGTATACCAGAGTTTAGATCTCAGGGTGCAACACCAAACTTTTTCATTTTTATTATTTATTAATTGATGGGGGGGGGCTTTAGTTTTGTTTTTTTGGTTTATAAAAATGGCTTTACTGATCCTTAGAAAAGTCAAGAAGAAAGGTCTTTTCCCTCACTTATTTCTTTCTAAATTAAGTCTTTCTCATTCCTTTTGCACTGAAGCATTACAAACATGATATCCTTAAATGTAATCCCAGTGGTAATTCTACCACTATTTTTCAATTAGTCCCTTCCTTCTGGTAAAGGAAAGGAAGCCTGCCCACTTGCCCTTCCCTTGACACCGAATGCCCCTTCCACCCACAGCACTATTTCTGAGGTCTGTGCATGAGTTTCTGAATTTTCTGGACTGTCCTTACATCACATAGACCTTGGGAAGATTCTTTGTGGATGCTATAGCGATATCTAGAGAGTACCAGGTTGGGTTAACAGATTCTGCCCCATTTACCCTTCTATATGTTAAATGTACAAGTGGTTTTTTTATATAATGGTCCTCATTCAGAAGGCAACCTCCAAGCCAAAACTTTGGGATAGAAATGTCTATGGTGATTAGAATGTTCAGTTTGAAGAAAAGAAGATGATGTATAAAAATCACCAATGCTAGAGAAACTGGAAAAAGTTGGATGTTTCTCCTCCTTGTCTCTCTCCATGTTATTGCTTGGATTAATCTACTGAAATCAGACACCTGAAGATTCTAGAATCTAGAAATGCATCTTACATAGTATATAGCTACACTGAGATTTGGTACAGGAATTTGCTACCAATTGAGCAGTTTTTATAGGAACTAGAAAAAATCATGAAGGATCAGCTATCAAAGTCCATCAGTTTGTTGGGCTGTTTAGGGCTCCTGAATTTCAGGCAACTTTAACACTTTAAATATCAGCTGCTAAGAATCTTTGTCCCTTTGCCAAGGATAGGAGTTTTCTGGATATTCTGCTAATATGTGATACAGATTGCTGAACAGATTGATCCACTGGCCTGTCTAACAGGGCTTTTCTTACACTTATTGAACAAGAATAAAATAAGGAATGCTTTGATATCTACCTAATTGGCAGATTATTAGTTATTTGTTTCAGTCTTCATGGATCTTCACTTGGTAAATCTGTTAAATGAAAAATAAAATTTGTGTGAAAAGAAGAGAAAAGAAAAGCATAGAAACAAAACTGTCCCATTTAGGGAACTGAGCAAATGATAAAGACAAAAAGCAATTATAAATGTGTCCTCACAGTTTTCATGTGGGAAGCCTTTTCCCACATGAAAAAGGAAGAACTTTCTGTTCTTACCTGAAGGCTCACAGAACCTCCACTTGTGATCTGTATTATAATTGGCAGTGAGGGAGCACCAGAGTTTCCAGCCTGACGTACCATCGGTTGTACATGCTGAGTAAACCTTTTTTTTATAGTTAAAAGGAAAAAAACAGGGCTCTTTTGATTCCATATCTTCTCAGAAAATTATTGAAGACAAATGTATGTGGGAGAGAAAGAGGAAAAGCATAAGATCAAACTCTAAAAGCAAAGGAATGCCATTCCAGTCATGCTATATTCATTTAAAGTTGTGCAGGATTTGATGGCAAAAGATACTGTAGAGAATATGGGGGCACAAATGTAATGTAATTCCCATTCACAACTCCTTAAACCATCTTTTTTTCCCCAAAATTTTACAGCACCGGCCAAAGGAAGGTGCAGTCTTGGGGAAAGTTGTAACTGCTTTAAGGAGATGTAGGTGGGTAATTTGTATCCCAAATATCCTTTTAACTTTCCATTCCGAAGTGCTGCACAACCTCCTTAGTAATTTTTTCAACAAGAAACAAAATTTAAAATTCAGACTATGAACTTTGTTTTGTCTATCTTGTTTCCTTTTAAGAACATATACAACAACACATATATGCAGTAATAACAAAATGGAGATCTTGATATTAAATAATTAGTTCAAGACTGAAACTATTAACATATAATTAAAACTTTGATATGAATTGCATTCTTTATTTTATACTCAGCGCTGGCTGAAAAGTTAAATAATATATTTGCTTGTAACACTGACATCCTAAATGGCAATTAATATTCATAGAATGTTTGTATTTTGTAGAATCAATAAGCATAAGGCATGAAGTGGTGATGCTAGAATTGAAACTGGCTTAAAGTACAAGGATTCACATGTAGCTTTTAGGGTTCAGCAGCCGAATCAGCACCAGAGACTGTCCAAAGGCTGTACATCAAATCTTGCCAGGCTCTGGTGCTGATTCGGTTGCTAAACCCTAAAAGCTACATGTGAATCCTTGTACTTTAAGCCAGTTTTCTTTGCAATACTGTTACCATTCTTAGTATTACTTTTTGTTCATCTATTATCTCAGAATATCAGACTAAATGTGACATTATAAAGGCTTTGGACATAGCAATCCTTAAATGCAGTTAATACTTTGAAAGGATATAGTGGAAAGGAATGATCATTACATCTGTGTAAAGAAAAAATGCAGTTGCATAAAATATTGAACCAATAGTCTTTTGGGTTCAGAATCAGCCCCAAGGTAGCTTACTTCCAAGTAAATGTAAATAAAATTGTGCTGTGTTCCTAAGTCCAACTATGTATCTGGGTATCTAGGAGCTACTTGCCTTTTTTCTTGTTTAAACGTGTATCAGCACAGAAACTCCATTTCATGTCCACATCAAAATTCTCTGTCGTGGCACACCAAAATCTCCCATTCTTCTCATTCTTCTCATCCTCATCAATGCAAGTGGTAACCGCGTCGCCTTTGTAGTTGAAAGGGAAGACACAAGGCTGTCCGTTGGAGTTCCCACCATATTCTGTTGAATGTAGGGAGGACAAAGCAACACTGGGAGAGAGTTTGGTTCAGTTGTCCAAGAAAAGGAAACAAAGCAAGAACTTAGAACTCTGGGTTGGAACTTTATGATGCGTCATAAGAGTATCACACTGGAACATTTTCATGCTTTAATTGAGCAGAGAAGCTCCAAGAATTGAAGAGTACTTGGCATATGATGCAATGACCTCACCAAAAGAGACAAGGCCTCCACTTCTTGCAAATTTGGAAAAGGGATTAAAGGAAAAATTATTTAGTATGTCAATTCATATATCCACCGAACTCATACTTGTGACTTCAAGTGGCTAATTGGCTAGAAAAACTACAACAAATAAGAAATAAACAGCAAAAAACAATATAAATATAAAGAGTGCTTGAGACTTGTAATCCAACAAACCCAAGAAACACATGAAACATTCCATCTGGCATCCCATCCCAATGTCCAGGAGAACATCCAGTGCAGATCTTTAACACTTTGTAAAAAGCAGAGTTTCTGGGGAAGAATGGCACATTGAAATGTTGCAGCAAAAAGTGGAGCTGATGACTTAAAACTGAAGGAAAGTGATTAAACTGGCTCTTCAATAATTCCTCTCAGACAAGGAGATATTTCAGATCACCCACAAGTGCTCCAGGCAATTGTTTCTCACTCTCTTACCTTGAAAGGAGCATGATTTCCACTTGCTGTCATTATCATAGGTTGGGGTTGTAGCACACCATAGCTGATTGTATAAAGCCCCATCTGTTGTGCAGGAATAATAGGATTTGTTTCTGTATATGAAGGGAAAACTGCAAGGAGCAGGATCTAGAGAGGAAACCCAGCAAAGAAGCATTGATTGAAGCAATATAAGGAAAGGATTGATGTGGCAATTAAGGATAAAGAGGGATTAACTTCAGTCTGTAGTCAGAAATATTCTTTTCAGGTATAAAGGAAAATGATCAAATGTTCAAATTTTTTACAAATGTACATTAGGAGCAAAATAGCAAGTAATATAAATAAAGGATTAGAAACCACATTCCTTCCATACTGTGGCCTAGGAGTGAAGAACACAGCACTGAAGCAGCATTTTCAAAAGGGATATTTTTGAACAAGAAACCAACATATAATAACATTGAAGAGCAGATTTGTTTATTGACAGGTTCAGAACCCAAGGAACTTCCAGGAAAGAGAGGTCTAAAGAAGGGGGCATAGCAAACCCTCTTTATAGATATATTCAGATGTTATCTTTATTTAATTGCCACATGACAATTACAAATATTCATTAATTATGAGATAGGCTATAATGATATCACTCTAATTGATAAGGTTAACCTTGACACTTTCCTATGGAAAGAAAACCAAAGCCCTAAAATTCTCTGTTATTTAATCACTATTTAAAAATCTTCAATTCCTAGTGTTTACTCTTGCAATCTAGTGGTTAGCTTTTTCACTTGTTAGCATATTGTTACCTTAATGCATTTGAACTTCAAGCACTGGACTTCCTTTCTCCTGAATTGCAGTATTGTTATTTAAATACTATTTATTTGTATATAGTATTTAAATAACAATACTGCAATACTGTAAGTATACAAATACTTACGTCCAAAGTTGGACCCCTCAAATTTTCCCATATAAAATAGGTAACCATTGGAACCAAGGCACATGAAGAATGGAGATTTAATAATAGGGAGGTGATACGGTAATCGATTGATTTTTTTCTTACAACTCCCACAGCCAGGAGATGGGTTGTTTTTTGACTATTAAACTATTCTTCTTCCCAAAGCATGTCCTTTTTTCACAAAAGTTCTTTTTAAAAGTTAACGTTAAAGACTCAAAAACCATCCCAACCTTAAAAGGGTCTAATGAGAAACACTGTAATGATGAAGTCTTTGTTAAAAGCATTGGCTCATGCTCCACATTTCCTAATCATACCACAACTAATTGCAACGATCTATTACATATTGATTTTACAGAAGATAATGTTGAAAAGGCACTACGCAACCTAAAACCATCTCTATTTATTGGGCCTGATGGATTATGTGCCTACTTCTTAAAAAAGCTTTCCAATGCCATAGCAGAACCTCTAAGCACAATCTATGAGTTATCTTTCAGAACCAGCTCCTTACCTAATCTATGGTTATTAGCTATAGTCATCCCTATCTTCAAAAAGGGAGACCCCAGCCTAGTTGGTACAAATCTCACTGTGTTGTGTCATATGTTGTGTGTTGTGTCACTGTGTTGTGTCACTGCAAAGTCATGGAATCAATCATAAACCAATCCATTACCCTCCACTTAGAGTCAAACAATCTACTCTCTAACAAGCAGTTTGGTTTCTGGAAAAATTTGTCCTGAAATTTGCAACTCCTACACTGCAAAAACATATGGACTACATGACTCGACCAGGGTAAAGCAATAGACACAATTTACATAGACTTCTAGAGAGCCTTTGATTCAATACACAGCAACTACTGTTAAAACTAAACTCTTGCGGATTTCCAGATCCCTGCATAAATGGATAACTGTGTTCCTATCAAACAGGCAACAAGTAGTCAAAATAGGGAGCACCCTATCAAAACTTACCAAGGCAGAGTTTTAGGACCCACACTCTTTATACTTTACATAAATGATATTTGCGATCATATTATAAACAACTGCATCCTCTTCGCTGATGATGTTAAATTATTCAACACCACCGACAATGCTGCTACCCTACAAAGCGACCTTGACTATGTGTCAGAGTGGTCAAACAATTGGCAACTCCAAATCTCAACCAACAAATGCTCCATCTTACACATTGGCAAAAAAAAAAAATCAGAACACCAAATAAAAACTGGGCAGATACGAGCTCATAGACGATTCTCACTCTGTCAAGGACTTTGGAGTACTCATCTCAAATGACCTAAGCACCAGAGTTCACTGTAACAGCATTGCCAAAAAGGCATTAAGAGTTGTAAATCTAATCTTATAAAGCTTCTTCTCCAGTAACATTGTACTGCAAAACCTTTGCTAGACCAATTCTCAAGTATAGCTCATCTGTCTGGAATCCACATTGTATATCGGACATTAATACAATTGAACAAGTCCAGAGGTATTTCACGAGAAGAGTACTCCACTCCTCTGCTCACAACAAAATACCTTATGCCACCAGGCTTGAAATTTTAGGCTTGGACAACCTAGAACTACGGTCCAACCTATGCGTAGTACACAAAATTATCCACTACAATGTCCTACCTGTCAATGACTACTTCAGCTTCAATAGCAATAATACACAAGCACAAAATAGATACAAACTCAAGATAAACTGCTCCAAACTCAATTGCAGAAAATACGACTTCAGCAACAGAGTGGTCATTGCCTGGAATACACTACCTGACTCTGTTGTTACATCCTCAACTCCCCATAACTTTAACTTTAACTTTAACTGTCTACTGTTGATCTCACCCCATTCCTAAGAGGTCTGTAAGGGGCATGCATAAGCGTACCAGTGTGCCTTCTCTCCCTGTCTTACTGTCCCCATTTATTCATACCCATTTCCTGTATTAATATCCATGTTTATACTTATTCCTGTAATCTCTCACATGTTTGACAAACTAAATAAATAAAATAAATAAGTTAGATTCAAGTTACATCCGTGCTTTGTCTGGTTATTTCCATTATCTATTTTGCTTACCTGAAGGCTCGCAATATACCCACATAGGCTCAATATCAAAATTACTTGAAATAGAACACCAAAGCCTTCCATCAGATCTTCCATCTATTGTACAAGTTGAATAAAGATTATTTTCAAAGATAAAAGGAAAGACGCATGGACTAGTAGGATAATTTGCATCAAGTCCTGGAAGAAGGAGATAAAAGGAGAATGATCATTTGCCATACTGTTTGTCCATCAACTAAGACAGTGAGTTTTTTTTTTAAAGTGTAACCCTCAGCATATCTACTCAGAGGTAAGTCTGTTAGTACTATGGGTAATAGCATGCAAGGTTATATCCTATACCAGTGATGGCTAATCTTTTTGCTGTCGCGGGCCAAAAGTGGGGATCATGCGGAAGGGTCACACACGCATGTGCCCATACCCATAATTCAATGCGCCTCCCCCCCACACTACCTCTGCTTTTGGCACATGATGGAGTCCGGTTTGACCCCCGGCCGAAATGGTGGACTCTCTCCCCTGGACTTTTTTTTTAAACCATCATTGGCCTCTTTCCATCTTCCCCAGACAGACTTTTGGAACCTTAAGATGTATTCATCCGCTGATCTCTTCACACTGCGAGACTCCCCCTCTCGCAGGCCTGGCCCTCCATGTTATCGAGGGCCTATCTTGATGACGGGTCTTGGAACCCCGAGAGATGGCATGCAGCGAAGAGGGGGTTGAGGGGTTTTCTACGTAAATTTTTAATGAAATTTTTAAGGGGTGGGAATAATGATTTTTTAAGGGGAACCGGGAGGAAGACCAAGGGGTTTGGGGGGACGAACCCACTAGGGTCAGAGCCGAGCCTGGCACAGGGGGACGGTTTGGAGGATGCAGGTCGAGGGATTGGGGAGGGGCTGGAGGACTATGCAGAGGAGGAATTTTCCATCAGCACGGTGAATGGGAGGGGCAGATATGGCGGGAGCAGGGGACCATATCATGTGTCGGGGGCTCGCACTTGGTATCTGAGCGCAATTGCTTGCCCCGGTCCCCAAGGCTCTGCTCGGACACTAAGTGGCTTAGATACTCAGGATCTGGGCCTTCGGCTGATGCTGTGCAACGCCAGGTCCATGGTAAATAAGGCCCCCCTCATTCACGATCTTATTCAAGAGGGAGGAGCGGACCTGGCGGGTATTACGGAGGGCGGCATCCCTCTGGTTGAAATGTGCCCACCAGGCTTCAGAGCATTCCATCAGCCGAGGGCCCAGGGGAGGGGAGGGGGAGTGGCGGTTATTATTAACGAGGATCTGGGTCCGAGGGAGACCACTGTGCCTCAGATAGCCGGATGTGAGTCCCTCCTTGTGAGGTGGGGTCATGGGGTTCAGATGGGCTTGTTGCTTACGTACCTGGCTCCCTGCCACGTGGCAACAGCCCTACCTGAGCTACTCGACGTGATAGCCACGGTGGCAGTAGATACACCCAGGCTTTTAGTCATGGGTGATTTCAACTTGCCATCCGTTGGTGAAACGTCTGAGGTGGCTCGGGAGTTCATGGCTTCCATGACGGCCATGGACCTGACCCAGTTAGTTCATGGCCCTACTCACAGGGGAGGTCACACTCTGGACCTGATTTTTGTCTCTGGCCAGTGGTTGAGTGGTCTTATTATTGGGGATATAGACATGGAACCCTTGTCATGGACAGACCACTCACTCCTTCGCCTAGATCTTCGAACTGCTGCCCCCCACCGCAGGGAGGCGGATCCAATTAGATGGATCCGCCCCAGGCGCCTGATGGATCCTGAGAGGTTCCAGATGGAGCTTGGGCCATTTCCTGAGGTTCTAGCACATGACTCGGCCGAGGACCTGGTAGCTGCCTGGGATCGGGCGGCTGGTGAGGCCTTGGACCGAGTCGTGCCTTTGCGGCCTCTGACCCGGTGCCGATCCCGTGCGGCTCCTTGGTTCACCGAGGAGCTGAAGGAAATGAAGCGCCGGAAAAAACACCTGGAGAGCGGTTGGAGGGCCAGTCTCGCTGAATCTGATCGAACACTGGTAAGGTCGCATATTAAGACCTACCTAGTGGCGATAAAGACGGCAAAGTTTAATTACTTTTCCACCTCTATTGCGTCATGAGGGAATTGTCCGGCCGCCCTGTTTAGGGTGACCCGCTCCCTGCTCCATCCGGGAGTGCGGGAGGATCCCTTGGAAGGCAGGGTGGAGGATTTTGGACAATACCTGTATGACAAAATCGCTCAGATCCGGGGGGATTTGGACTCTGACTGGGTAGATCAGGGCAGAGTGACGAGGAATAGTCTTGAGAATGTTATCTGGGAGGAGTTTGACGCTGTGACTCCCGATGATGTGGACAGGATTTTGGGGAGACTTAGTGCGGCCACATGTTTACTGGACCCGTGTCCCTCCTGGTTGGTACTGGCTTCCCGGGAGGTTACACGAGGCTGGCTCCAGGGTGTTATCAACGCTTCGCTGAGTGAGGGCCACTTCCCCGCTGCCTTGAAGGAGGCGGTAGTGAGGCCTCTCCTCAAGAAGCCGTCCCTGGATCTGGCAATATTGGCCAACTACCGTCCTGTCTCCAACCTTCGCTTCATGGCAAAGGTTGTGGAGAGTGTGGTCGCGCGACAGTTCCCACAATTCCTGGAGGAAACATCTTATCTAGATCCGTTCCAGTCAGGTTTCAGGTCTGGGCACAGCACGGAAACGGCATTGGTCGCGTTGGTTGATGATCTCTGGAGGGCTCGGGACAGGGGTTGCTCCTCTGTTCTGGTCCTGTTAGATCTCTCAGCGGCTTTTGATACCATCGACCATGGTATCATGCTGCACCGGCTGGAAGAGTTGGGGGTGGGAGGCACCATGTTGTGGTGGTTCTCCTTTCTCTCCGACCGGTCGCAATTTGTGTTGGCAGGGGGGCAGAGGTCGACCTCGAGGCCTCTCATCTGTGGAGTGCCGCAGGGATTGGTCCTCTCGCCCCTTCTGTTCAACATTTATGTAAAGCCACTGGGCGAGATCATCCGTGGCTTCGGGGTGAGATACCACCAGTACGCTGATGACACCCAGCTGTACATCTCCACCCCAGGCCACCCCAATGATGCCCTTGAAGTGATGTCCCAGTGCCTGGAGGCTGTGCGGATCTGGATGGGGAGGAAGAGGCTCAAGCTCAACCCTTCCAAGACTGAGTGGCTGTGGCTCCCGGCATCCCGATATAGTCAGTTGACTCCATCACTGCTATTGGGGGCGAGTCTTTGGCCCCCACAGAAAGGGCTCGCAATCTGGGAGACCTCCTGGATATGCAGCTGTCCTTGGAGGAACATCTGACAGCTGTAACCAGGGGGACCTTTTGTCAGGTTCGCCTGATTCGCCAGTTGCGGCCCTTTCTTGATCGGGATTCCCTGTGCACAGTCACTCATGCCCTCATCACCTCTCGCCTTGACTACTGCAACACTCTCTACATGGGGCTCCCCTTGAAGAGCACCCGGAGGCTCCAACTGGTCCAGAATGCAGCAGCGCAGGTAGTGACGGGAGCAGCATGGCGCTCCCATGTAACACTGCTCCTGCGCGAGCTGCACTGGCTCCCAGTGGTCTTCCGGGTGCGCTTCAAGGTGCTGGTTATTACCTTTAAAGCGCTCCATGGCATCGGGCCTAGCTATCTTTGAGACCGCCTGCTGCTACCGACGACCTCCCATCGTCCCGTGCGCTCCCACAGAGAGGGCCTCCTCAGGGTGCCATCAGCCAATCAATGTAGGCTGGTGACCCCCAGGGGGAGAGCCTTCTCTGTGGGGGCACCTACCCTATGGAATCAGTTGCCCCCAGAGATAAGGAGAATCCAAGACCTTAGTGCCTTCCGCCGTGCCCTTAAAACCCACTTTTTCCAGCAAGCCGGGCTGGCTTAAGAAGAAATTTTAAATGTTTTAATTGGTTTGTATTTTTAATTTTGGGTCAAATTTATATATATTTTAATTGTTTTTTAATATTTGTATTTTATGTTTTTTAATTCTGGCTGTACACCGCCCTGAGTCCTCAGGGAGAAGGGCGGTATATAAATTTAAAATTAATAAATAAATAAATAAAATGATGGCCCGGTGGGCCCGGTAGGCCCATTTTTCGCCCTCCCCAGACTCCAGAGACTTTCTTGGAGCCTGGGGAGGGTGAAAACGGCCCATTTCCCAACTTCAAGTGGGCCCGGAAGGCCCAAAAATTAGCTGGCCAACGCACATATGCATGCTGGAGCTGAGTAGGGCAACGTTCACATGCCCACAAATATGGCTCTACGTGCCACCTGTGGCACCCGTGCCATAGATTCGCCATCACAGTTCTATACCATTGATTCTAAGAAAAATTTGAGATTAGTGGGAAAAATATTTATTTTTGACTTATTTTTGACTTAATTATACCCTTCTATTTTACAACTATCTATTAAATGATGGATAACAAAATTATATCTCCTAAATGTACTGTACCTTTGATTTGATTTGTTATATATGGAAATAATCGTGCCTTTGATCTTTTCTGTTCTATTTTACATTCAAATTCCTAATAGTTATTAATGCTCAGCTCAAACCAGAAAGGAATATTCCATATAAAAGCTTTTAATTTACTACCATATAAACCATGACTTCTTCTTTTTTTTGTTTTTTAATTTTTATTTATTTCTTTACAACAAAATATTTATTTGCACACAGATCGCGACAGGAGCTTTACAGAATATATTAACTTCAGTCAAGATATACAAATAAAAAATAAAACAAAAAAAATCTACACTAACCTTATCCTTTTTTTATTCTATTATTCAACCAAGTATACCATTGGTCCCAGCACTGAAAATATACGGAGTCCTTTTGATCTCTCAAAATTTTTGTCAACCTGTCAGCTTCCGCATATTCGATAATTTTCCCCAGAATCAGGTCTTCAGCCGGTAGGTCTTTCCCCTTCCAATGTTGAGCAAAACATATTCTTGCTGCGGTTGTGATATATGTAGTCAAACACCATATATTCGTGCCTATCTTATCTGGCCTAATATTTAATAGATAGTATTCAGGTTTCAATTGTAATTTATATCCCGTGATTTCTAATATCCACCTCTGTATAGATCTCCAAAATTCGATTGCCTTAGGACAAGTCCACCATACATGATAATAAGTACCTATCTCCCCACACTTCCAACAATTTGGGGAGAGTCCTGGAAACATTTTGGCTAATCGAGCGGGAGGGAGATGCCATCTATACATCATTTTATACAAGTTTTCTTTATAAGTAGTTGCCATCAGAAATTTCAATTGTTTCGTCCAAATTTCTTCCCATTTTATCAGTTCAATTGAGTAACCAATATTTCTCCCCCAGGCAATCATTGAGTCTTTAACAATCTCATCCCCTATCCAATAAGTTATTAAGAATTTATAGATCTTAGATAATATTCTTTCCTCCTTTCCTAATATAATACTATTTATTTCTTGCTGGGTCATGTCTATACCACTTTTTTCCTTGTCTTTCTTATATTTAGAGCTAATCTGGGCATAAGACCACCAATCCAGTTTTATTCCTTGAAGCTCTAACTCAGTTCTTGTTTTTAAGCAGCCTTGGGCATCCAACAGTTCCCGATAGGATAGGTGTTTTTCTCTATTATAAACCGAACTATATGTTGTAGCTTCTAACGGGACCAACCAAGAAGGAGTTGAAAAGTAGAGTTTACTCTTAACTTTCCTCCATGTATCAGTTAGAATATTCCTTACATAATGTCCTGCAAAACTCATATGTTTTTTAACCTTATCCTGCCAAAGAAAATAGTGCCAACCCTAACCCTAACCATGACTTCTAAGATAATAGTCCTCAATTTCACTTACTGGTATCAGCACAGTAGCTCCATTTTTTATCCTTATCATAGTTCCCAGTTGTAGAACACCAGAATTGCCCTTTACGGTCAGATTTGGCTGTGCAGGTGTAGTAAACATGACTCATATAAAGAAAGGGAAAAACACAGGGTTTTCCTCCTGAATTGCCTCCATACTCTATGCAAAAAGAAAAGCAATATGCAAATAGATATTAGAGCAATGTATAAATATAAATACAGATATGGCTGTCTTTATCTAAGACAGAAGTGATCAACTGAGGTTCTCCAGATATTTTAGACTACTATCCCCACAGTCCTATGACATTGGCTGTGCTACTTGGGTCAGATGAAAGTTGGACTCATGGAAATCCATGAAATCATGGATTGCAGAGAAGGTTCTTTTATAATAGTGAGATTGTCACCAGCATAATAAAGAATAACCTAAACTGTAAAGGTCAGCGGAAAAGCTACCGTATTTTTCTGAGTTTAAGACCCACCAGAGTATGCGTCTTATACTCTGGTGGGTCTTAAACTCCGAATCATACGGTAGCTTTTCCTTTGACCTTTACATTTTAAGTTATTCTTTTGGTTATTCTTTTGATCTACCTTTTGGTGTTTTTTTTTAAGTTTTTTTTTATTTTTTAGATAAACACACATACAAACATACAATGTATTTTCTTTGAACAGAGTGTTTGGCTGGTTCAAAATTTAAACAGTGTTTAGTCATTTCAATTAAATTTACAATTTCTATATTTCCTTTTTGCCATATTTATTCCTCATCTATTTTTTTAAAAAAACCAATATTACCCTTCATTCTCATCTCTAATCTTAATCAAATTCAATTTTTCCTTTCTATTCTATATTATACCCCTTCCCAGTGTCATCTATTTTTATATCCATCCTCACATTGATTAATTATTTAATATTACAATTGTTTAATACAAATTCAACATTTTTTATAAATCAATTAGTTATAACTATGTTTTTGTATATTAATCAATATGAACATGAATATTCCAATTATTTCCATGCAATCCAATTTCTTACAAATCAATTAATTATATTTACCAATAATAATACACCAAATAATTTTTCCCATATATTCCACCAAACCACAACTTAACCATTTCTGCTTTCAACACAATATACAATTAATAGTATCTCAATTATTACAATTCCCTAGTTAAATAGAGCTTTTTTTCTTTTGTGTTTTAAAATCTTGAACTCTCCTCTTTTGCCCTAAATTTCCCATTGTTTCCACCTACCTTTTTTGGTGAGAAAAAAGAAAAAGAAATCTCTCTCTGCCTCATTTTGTCACATTGCAGCAAAGAACCTGCTTTACTTTCAGTTTCGTTTTTTCAGCATAGCTAGGGGGGGGAAATCTGTTCCAGCACTTTTTGCAGCAAGCAGGAGAGCCCTGCGCAAAACAGCTGAGAGCAAATCAGCTGAGAGTTGGGAGGCCGATCTAATCAACTTGTGCTAATTAACCTATGCTGAAGCTGAAAGGGGCTGTTTTTTCTTGCTGTTTGCTTGCAAGAACGTAACTGCTGCGAGGCACAGGCCAAAGGGTGGGGGCCAGTGGGTGGGCAGGGCTACATTCGGTGTATAAGACGCACCTAAATTTTCACCCCCTTTTGGGGGGTAAAAAGGTGCATCTTATACTCTGAAAAATATGGTACATATTACACATAAATATAGTGAATTGCAAATAGAATACCCAGCCCTGAAGTGTTGCGAATCCCATTGAAGGCAACCTGTGATTCTCTTCACATGTGCCAGAAATATAAGTCAATCAATGCTGTCTAACTAATGGCTAATGAGACAATCAGAAAAAAAATCACTGTAGAAACGCTCTGTCTCAAGCTACCAAATTAATTGAAAACAATTGAAAACACTCATATCTCACTGTATGCAGAATGAATAAAAAGTTGCAAATACTACCCCTCTTCAAGGCAAGATGATATATTTGGGCTGTAAAATGCAGATGGCAGCAAAGAGAATTTTCTTGCATCTCTACTTATGTCTGATGGTCATTTGCATTTTTTTCAGGCCAGATTTGGTGTACCTGTGTAAAGGGGATGCCTCTTGCTAACACCGGCTTGCTGATGTTATTGATAACATACCAGTATACTCATGCGATTATAGGAAATACTGTGATAAAAACTAGAACTCTGCATATTTTAAAAATGATTTGAAAGATGTGCTTGAGAATGTGCATAAATAGACCTTGTGGCTGCTCTGGGAAATGAAAACATTGCCCAGTATTATGGGAAGAGTGGCTGATAGAAAGTGGTGTGTGGCTTTTCTTTTACATTTTCCCACTAGCCATACTTCCTGGATAAAATATAAGTGGTTCTGGGTTTGGGGTTCTTTGGCCCATGGAGAATTGCTACCTTTGGTCTTGGATCGGATGGCACTACCCCAAACAGATTCTGTACATAATCTGGGGGTTCTCCTGGACTCGCGACTCCTGTTCAAAGAGCAGTGTGGTCGTAGCCAAGAGGGCCTTTGCGCACTTGAAGTTTGTATGCCAGTTACTCCCTTTCCTGGACCGACAATCCCTACTCACAGTCACTCATGACCTAGTCACTTCCTGTCTTGACTATTGCAATGCATTCTACATGGGGTTGCCCTTGAAGAGCATCCAGAAGCTCCAGTTAGTGCAAAATGCAGCAGCCCACATGGTTTTGTACAAACCTCGGTGTTCACATGTATCACCTCCTGCAGGAGCTGCATTGGTTGCTGATCTGTTTCCGGATACAATTCAAGGGGCTGGTTGTTTAAAACCCTTCGTGACTTGGGACTAAGTTATCTGAGGGACCATCTCTTGCTGTTCACATCTATCTGACCCACTAGTATGGGGAGGCAAGGAATCCCATTGGGTCCCATCCCAGAGGGAGATACACCTGATGGGACCCAGAAGAAGGCCCTTCTCCATTGTGAGAACATCATTTCCCCAGAGATTAGAATGGTCCCAACTCTAACACTCTTCTGGAAGGCATTGAAGACCTGATTCTGCCAGTGGGCCTGGGGAACCCAGCGCAGGATGGAGCCCATTAAATGGTTGGTGTATTGTCACTGTGGTGCGGAGTGGGGGTTATATTATTATATTATATTATCAATAGATGGGCCTGTTGATCACGTACCTGGCTCCCTGCCACGTGGCAACAGCCCTGCCCGAGCTGCTCAACGTCATAGCCAGAGTGGCAGTTGATACCCCCAGGCTTTTGGTCATGGGGGATTTTAACCTGCCATCCATTGGTGAAACGTCTGAGGTGGCCTGGGAGTTCATGGCTTCCATGAAGGCCATGGACCTGACTCAGTTAATTCATGGCCCCACTCACATAGGCGGGCACACTCTGGACGCCCAGATTGCGAGCCCTCTCTGGGGGGGGTAGAGATTCACCCCCTATAGACAGCGATGGCGATATAGACACGAGGCTGGCTCCAGAGGATTATTAATGCTTCTCTGAGTGAGGGTGCCCTGCCGGCCGCCTTGAAAGAAGCGGTGGTGAGGCCCCTCCACAAGAAGCCCTCTCTGGATCCGGCTGTTTTGGCTAACTATTGTCCAGTCTCCAACCTTCGTTTTATTGCGAAGGTTGTTGAGAGTGTGGTGGCGTGGCAGCTGCCATAGTACCTGGATGCAGCTGTCTATCTAGATCCGCTCCAGTCCAGCTTCAGGCCTGGGCACAGCATGAAAACGGCATTGCTCGCGTTGGTGGATGATCTCTGGAGGGCTCGGGATAGGGGTTGCTCCTCTATCCTGGTCCTATTAGATCTCTCAGCGGCTTTTGATACCATCGACCATGGTATCATGTTGCGCCGATTGGAGGGGTTGGGGGTGGGGGACACCATTTTGCGGTGGTTCTCCTCCTACCTCTCTGACCAGTCGCAATCTGTGTTGACAGGGGGGCAGCGGTCGACCCCAAGGCGCCTTGTTTGTGGGGTACCGCAAGGGTCGGTCCTCTTGTCCCTTCTGTTCAACATTTATGTAAAGCCGCTGGGTGAGATCATCCGTGGCTTTAGGGTGGAGTTCCATCAGTACGCTGATGACACCCAGCTGTACATCTCCACCCCAGGCCACCCCAACAATGCCCTTGAAGTGATGTCCCGGTGCCTGGAGGCCGTGCGGGCCCGGATGGGGAGAAACAGGCTCAACCCTTCCAAGACCGAGTGGCTGTGGCTTCCGGCGTCCCGATATAGCCAGCTGGTGCCATCGCTGGTAATTGGGGGCGAATCACTGGCCCCCACAGAGAGGGCTCGCAACTTGGGCGTCCTCCTGGATGCACAGCTGTTTTTAGAAGGCCGTGGCCAGGGGGGCTTTTTATCAGGTCCGCCTGATACGCCAGTTGCGTCCCTTTCTGGATTGGGACTCTCTACGCACGGTCACTCAGGCACTCGTCACTTCCCGCCTGGACTACTGCAATGCTCTCTACATGGGGCTCTCCTTGGGGTGCACCCGGAGGCTCCAGGTGGTCCAAAATCTTCCCCCTTTTTAAATGTGGAAATTTTAAATTTTTAAATTTTAAATTCGTCTTTTTATAGGGGTATGGGTAAGGCATTTTAAATTGGGGAGCCATTTTAGATTTAATTCTGTTTTAAACGTATTTTAATTGTTTATATTGTATGTTTTTAACTTTGGCTGTTCACCGCCCCGAGTCCTTCGGGAGAGGGGGCGGTATAAAAATCTAATAAATAAATAAATAAATAAATAAATAAATAAATAAATAAATAAATAAATAAATAAATAAAATGTGGCCACGCAGGGGATTATGGGAGCGACGGGGCGCTCCCATGTGACACCTCTCCTGCGTGAGCTGCACTGGCTGCCGGTGGTCTTCCAAAGGTGTTGGTGACCACCTTTAAAGCGCTCCATGGCTTAGGGCTGGGGTATCTACGAGACCGCCTTCTGCCACAAATAGCCTCCCACCGGCCAGTACCCTTGCACAGAGAGGGTCTCCTCAGGGTGCCGTCTACCAGACATGTCGCTGGCAACCCCCAGGGGGAGAGCCTTCTCTGTGGCGGCACCCGCCCTCTGGAACGACCTCCCCCTAGAGATACTTACGATACCAGACCTCCGGACTTTTCATCGGGCCCTGAAAACTCATTTATTTTACCTAGCCGGGCTGGCTTGATCCCATCCGTTTCGGTTTTAATTTGAAATTGGTTTTAATTGGGTTGTTTTAAATTGTGGCCGAAATTATTTAATTTACCTTTTAAACTGTTTTTTAAATTTTGTATGCTCTGTTTTATCTCGGCTGTTCACCGCCCTGAGTCCTGCTGGAGAAGGGCGGTATACAAATCAAATCAAATAAATAAATAAATAAATAAATTTTATTAATTTATTTTCTTATATTAGTTTTATTTTTTTATATAATGTTTTTATACCCCTGTAAGCCACCTTGAATTGCCATATGCGAATAGGCATCAATATAAATGTTATTATAAGAATAATATCACATTCTATCATTCACAAGGCAGTCCATGAAGAATATGTGACACAAAATTATAGAATCTGGGCAAGGATCCACAACATGAAAGACAACAGCAGAAATTGTACAAGACTATATCACAAGGTTTTAGTATTCACACGAGTTGTCAAGTAAAGATACCAAAATTTCCCTTGATCTCTTAGAATGCACTAAAAATGTCTGTATATTGCAGGTGAAAAAAGTTTCTGCTCCATTTTCTGTGGCCCAGCCCCATCTTGCAATTAGCATCAGGTCATATTATCAAAATTAATTCAAGGACTTTCTAATATAGTTCCGAGAATGGAAGTTTGTGCAGTCAATAATAGTAAATAATTCCACATTTCTTAGCCAGCGTACCCATGAGACATATGAAAGAGGAATGCAAATATCTGCGGTCCCAACACTTATGAAGAACCCATGTTTGAGAAGACTACATTAATCCCAAAATTACTGGAGGTAGTATAGGGGTACCAGTTGTACCTCTTACCAGTAACAGCACATTGTTTCCACAGACGTTTTTCATCATAGTTATCAGTTAATGCACACCAGGAGATATCCTTGCTGGAACCATCTGTGGTACATGAAGGATAAAATTTTCCCTCATAAAGAAATGGGAAAACACATGGTAGAGATGGTACTGAAAAGAAAAGAAAAAGAAAAACTGAACCTCTTTGAAGAAAATAGTGGTTAAAAATAAAGAAGAATGGGTTGTTCAGTTCAACAGATTTTTTCCGGGAGACTAAGGAGTTCTGGGGCTAAGGAGTTCTGAGGCCCATCTTCAGCCTCTGAGGCTAAAGATGGGCCATCTTTAGGCAAAGGTTTTTGAGTTGGGTCAGAAACAATGAGCAGCAGGCCTGGTTTGAATTACCTTGAATTACCATATTTTTCACTCCATAAGACACTCCTGACCAAAAGATGCACCTAGGTTTAGAGGAAAAAAAACAAGAAAAAAATATCTGCCTCTGCCTCCCAGCGTCCATCTGGTATTCATAGAATAACAGAGTTGGAAGGGACCTTGGAGGTCTTCTAGTCAAATCCCCTGCTTAGACAGGAAACCCTACACCACTTCAGACAAATGGTCTAATCCAGGGGTGAAATGCTCCCAGTTTGGACCGGATCACTCAATCCGGTAGCAATGGAGGCGGGTGGTTCGGAGAACCGGTAGCAATAATTCCTGCCCCTCCCCATGCCCAGCTGAGCTACGCAATCATCAGAGGCTTTTTTTTTTAATTTTTAAAAGCATTTTTTTTACAATCTCTTCAGCCGAAAAAATGCTTTTAAAAGTTAAAAAAAAAGCCTCTGATGATCGCAAGGATCATCAGAGGCTTTTAAAACCTTTCGGCCAAAGAGGTTGTAGAAAAAATGGTTTTAAAAGTCTCTGACGATCCCAGCTGAGTTGCCTGATTGGCAGAGGCTTTTTTTTTTCTTTTAAAAATGTCTTACGATCTCAGCTGAGTTGCCTGATCGTCAGAGGCTTTTAAAACCATTTGTTCTACAACCTTTTCGGCCAAAGAGGTTGTAGAAAAAAATGGTTTTAAAAGTTTTTTGTTTAAACTTGGTCACGCCCACCCAGTCACATTAACCCCCACCACCAAGCCACAGCCACCGAATCGGTAGTAACAAATTTTACATTTCACCACTGGTCTAATCTCTTTTTAAAACTTCCAGTGTTGGAGCATTTACAACTTCTGGACACAAGTTGTTCCACTGATTAATTGTTCTAACTGTCAGGAAATTTTTCCTTAGTTGTAAATTGCTTCTCTCCTTGATTAGTTTCCACTAATCTGTCTAGTGTCCTTGCAGCAAACAGCCTGCCTCCTTAGTGTGGAGGAGTATGCTAGAGCCCCGCTGGGGAATGCTGGAGCCTTCGCCTCTGAGCAGCTGACTGGCAGTTGGATCGGCCTCCAGAATATTGCCAATCAGCTATTCCAGCACTCACTTTTAGAAGGGAAAAAAGTGTGTCTTATGGAGTGAAAAATAAGGTATTTAGAAAAATAATAATAGTGGGATAAAAAATAAATAAATAAAAATGTTTATAAGGGTCATCAATTGTTACTCAACTGCACCACCATTCATAATGCCTTCCCCACATTAGTATATCCTGAGAAAATCATGTGCTTGGTGCTTCAGCCCAGCTTTTCTATTAGAACTGACATACGTTTCATGTATTTCTTTAAAAAAATTTAAAGCAACCTTACCTTTTCCTAGAAGCATATGTCTACTTTAAATCAATTTGAAATATTAAGAACAGAGCATCAACCAAACTGAATAGTATTATCTCTGATCAACAAGAAGGTCAAGCAAAAACTATATTCACTATCCAAATCAAATTGGGTTTTTTTCACACATGCAGTAAATATATATTTATATTTGCGTTCATGAAATAAACAGAATTTAAAAGCAAGAGCAATTATAAGAGATTTTAGTCCTTACTTTCGAATCCAATAAGTAATGATGTGAAAGCCCATGTGCACACAAGGAACATTACAGAAAAGGCCATTTTCACTCTTGGTCAAGGAATCTGACAGATGTGAAAAAAATGCACTATACTCATTCTTTCTATAAGATCTGCTTGGCCACATCTTCTTCCGAGAACTGCAAAAGAAAGTGATGTTCAAACACTGTCTCAGCTGGAAAATGAATAAATATCAAACATGTTAGCCCTTAACACAAGATGAAATTACTGCTCCTACATTCAGCCATAAAGCACTTTATTCCTGCACAATTAGCACTGATAATTCACTGAAAGCAGAGCATGGGTATTCCAAGGATTGGTAAATTGTCAGAGGAAAGAAGCCAGGGTGGCAGCTGGCTACTTTTTATATGTAAGCTTCACAGGCATTATTCAACCATTTTTGGAGTTTGCAGAAATTCAACTTTAAAAAGAGCCCTGAAAATTACTGCAGATCAAATATTTGCTGCAGGGTTGAAAAATTAGCTTAATAGCTCCCAAAAAAATGGCTCAGATATGGCAGACTACCACATTCCCTTGGGGACCTGGGGACTATACTTCCAGGAAATCTGTACTATATGGACACTTCTCATGAAAGTAGAAGCCCTAATCAAAATATAGAGAATCTATATGACAATATGGATAGCAGTGACAGAGATCAAGAAACATTTTGCCCAACTAAGATCAGGAAAGACCTAGGAGAAGACCTAATCTCACCACAGACCATTAAAAACAACTTGGACTTCTACCTGCTTCTCTCTTTACTTGTATTAACAACTAGAATAAAATTAGAATAGAATAGAATAGAATAGAATAGAATAGAATAGAATAGAATATTTTTAATGGCCAAGTGTGATTGGACACACAAGGAATTTGTCTTGATGCATATGCTCTCAGTGTACATAAAAGAAAAGATATGTGGCTAAGGATCCAAAGACACATAATCATTGTCCCTCTGTATATAAAAAGGAAAAGAGATAATTTTGTCAATTACCCTGCCCATACAACCAACAAACTTTATTTGCATATAAAGTAAATTTTAATTCGTTTTACTATTTGCACTCCAAACATAGGTTAATTTAGCAACAAGGTATTTGTATTTGTATTTACACAACCAGCATGTGGCCTTGAACCAAACAGTACATATTCTCCAAACCTACTCATAAACCTATCACGTAGAAAAGAGTCAAAACTAAACATACTACCTAGTATAAAAGACGGGTTCTAATAAAAATATTTAGATTTGATATGCCCATCAACATTTGAGGGAACTCACTTTTCTGCTAGGTTTTGATCTTGGAAAGTTCTCCATCTGCTTCTAACTGTCCAACTGACCCCTAGAATTCTGCTATCCAATCAGATGTCTGCTTTGCAAAATGATATAATCCTGTGCTAATTTAAAAGCCAGTTATCAATCTACATTTTATGGTATTTTCTCTCAGATTGTTGCTGGGATGGCTTCAGTCTCTTGTGGGATGTCTTTGTATGTGTTTTCTGTGCTGTTACCTGGATGGGCCTATTTTTGTTTTTTTGCTTTGCTTTGCTTTGTTTTGTTATTATCTTGTTTCTTATTTGTATTGTATTTTTATTTGTCAGTTTTACCATGAGTCTCCTCGAATTGTTCTGGAGTCAGACAGTACCTGGATCAAATAAATTAAGATATATACGACACATTACAAATGTAGACATTTGGAATATGGTTTCTTGGAAAAGAGTAAGAAACTAAAAATAACAGATGAAGTAATTTAAACAATGTACACAATGATTATTATGTTCAAGTCTGGAACAACTATTTAAGGGGGACAGGGAATGAAAGGTGTATGTTTATCAAAAGTTCATCTTGAACTTTGGATTTCTGGATGCTCTCCAACCTTGGATATTTGCTTGTTCAATTGTCTGGTTTCTGGGTAAGAATTCAAAACAAAGAATAATTTATGGAATTTTTGGTGCTCTCCAAACTTAGCTGTTTGCTTATATATTTTCATTACCAAATTAGAGGACATCATTATTGCACAATCACACAAGCAAGCATCCAGGCTCAGAGATTCTTAAGAACTCCAAAATTCAACTGAGCCACAGATATTGTTTTCCCTTTGGAAGAATAAATTATTTTTTTCTCTTTGTTTTCCCCTCTCCCCCCAAGTTTGATCTCATGCAATCATATTTTTACTCTAAAATTTCCCTTCTGACTCTCTGAATCAACAGTTAATTGTAATAAATCCCATTTGGCACATTGATGAAATATTGCATCATTGTGTTTTTCTCAATATTTCCTGTTTTGCTGATCTAGTTCCATTAAGCATCATCTTTCCCCACAGAAAATCAAATAATATTCATAATTTCACATGCCGTACATTGATTTATCACACAGGGAAAAACAAATAGAACCAGCTGCTCTCCCTTAGTAATCAGTGAAAAACAGGAGTATTAAACTATTTGCATCTAAAATATTCAATATGCTTTCAAACATATTGCTTTTTTCCTTTTCCTTATCTCTTTTTTTTTTATTCTGTGCCATGCCTTTTTAGAATACTGTTGCTGAAATGGAAATACTTCTACTACTGGCCCTTCTAAGCTCTTCTTGCTTGAAATGTTGAGTCTAAATTGTTTTGCATAAATGGACAAACTCTTAACTCTCACATATCATTTTTAAGAACAGCATTTTTATTTAACATGTAAACTTTGCAATCCATACTCTACAATGCCTAATCTGAATTCAGTTGATCCATGGCTCCTTTTAATTCTTTTTTCCTATGCTTGAAAGCATTTTGATCCAGTTCTCCAAAGTATACTTTGATTCTAATATATTCCCCACACACAGGCTTTCCCTAAATTCAAATAGTATCATTTCCAAAGTTAAATTATTTGAAGTTTTGCTACTTGGGAGTCATAAGGCAGCACATTCTTAGTTTTCAATTTTCTTGTTAAATTAGGCTACTGTTGGAAGAAAAGTAGGCTACTGATTCAGTTCTAAGACAGGAGGAGACCGCTGGAAATAAAATGGAGGTTTATTTGGTTTCCAGAGACTTCAGTGATAGAAGTGTGTTTCTGGTGGCTGAGCCCTTGGTTTAGGAATGGATGGATTATATGAATGAATGGATTATAGGGTTCTGAGTTGCTCTAGGGCAGGGTTGTCAAACTCTATTTCATTGAGGACCGCATTAGAATTGTGTTTGACCTTAGGGGGGCATGATGTGTGGTAGGGTGGGTATGGTCATCTTGACTCATGTCACGGGCACCTGTGGTGGTCTGAGTGCTCTGCCAATGAAAACTGAGTTGGGGAGGGCCACTCGGGGCCCTCCCAAACTCCGTTTTCACTGGCAGAAGCACCACAGGCTGGTCCTTTGCTGTTTCCAGAGCAGCCCCACAGGCCAGATCGAAGCGTCCTGTGGACTGGATGGGCCCGTGAGCCTTGGGTTTGACACCCCTGCTCTAGAGAGTTGTACAATGTAGTGAGCTTTGTATCTTTTGCTATTCTAATGGTGGTGGGATAATTCTATTATGACCTAAAGATCATGTCCTGTTCTTAGAATAGGGGAGTGTAAACTCTTGATCCCATCAACTGGAGCTGAAGATTTAATAGATTAACAGATTTGGAAGGGACCTTATAGGTCATCTAGTCCAAATTTTCTGACAAATGGCAGTCCAATCTTTTCTTGAAAGTTCAAGTGATGAAGCTCCCACAACTTCCGAAAGCAAGCTGTTCCATTGGTTGATTGTTCTCACTGTCAGAAAGTTCCTCGTCATTTCTAGGTTGAATCTCTCATTGGTCAGTTTCCATCCATTATTCCTTGTCTGACCTTCAGGTGCTTTGGGAAATAGCTTGGCCCCCTCCTCTCCTCTCTGTGGCATGATGTTTTGTTTATGAATATATTGGCCCAGTCCTTTTTAATAGGCACAAAATATCCATCTCTAAAGATTTCAGACATCTACTGGAGGCTGTTTCACTATGCAGGAAGATTGGGGCTGCTTTCTGCCTCTAAGAGCATGTTTCTCCATTTCTCCTTCAGGGAAAATATAATATTCTGCCTTTTTTAATATTCCCCAAAATATTTCAATTTTGGGGGGGGGGGGGACTTCCTACATTACTATTAAGTAGGAAGATAGGTTCTTAGATAATGTTCTGCTTTAGTTCTTAAAATAGATTATTTCTCTATTCTTTGTTATGAAGAAGTAGTGGTGAAGAAGGTGCGGATGAGTTAGCCAATAATTTGTTAATTACAAGTGGCTTTTTAGAGAAGCTCAGAAATACCACTTCTTTGTTTAGAAGAAATTGGTTTTCTTTACATCACCAAAAGACTTTGGATCAGAATTTCCATGTAACAACATTTTATTTTCCAAAGAAAACAGTCCAGCTGGACAAGATATGACTACTATTCAAGAAACAAAAGGAGCTTTTGACTATTTTGGTGGAAATTGATTGTATAGACTTGAAAGCGTTGGCCAAATGCAGCTTCAAGATAAATCCCTCAATATGCTGGACCCCAATTATGATACCAAGACAAGTCTCACTCAGAATGGTGATGGCAGCACATGCCCTCAGGCAGGCTGGTCAGCCAATGGCAACAGTGTCTGATTGTTTTGAAAAATATGTCACAGGTCATTGTCATCTTCCTAATTTCAGAGTTGAAGATCTATTCATGATTCCTTTTTGCTTATTTACAGAAAGAGAAAAGGGTTTCTCTAAATTAGGCAAGCCCAAAGCCAGCAGTGACATTAATACCTGTTTAAGTTGATGGAAAGACTGGGCACACTGGGTAGTCCACTTATATTATTTCTGTTATCCCCTCCTGTAGTTTCATAGAGGGATTTTAACAAAACACCAAACTTTGGAATTCAGATTCAGCAAAATCCTTCCATCCCCCTCCTAGTTGATAACAGGTTTTAACCTGCAGACAGGTTCAATACATTGAGCAGTCAACTGACACCGTCCCTAGAGATTTTAAATCCCAAATATAAATTAGTGGATTCCAGTCATTAGATATGCAGCTGGAATAGTGGATTGGACTGAAGCAGCACTAAGAACCCTTGATAGGAAGACAAGAAAAATGATGACAATGAATCATGCCCTTCATCCATCCATACAGAGATGTTAACAAATTTTACTTACCAAGAAGCATAAGTAAGCATGGAATGTTGCAAGTATATCAGACGGTGAAGAAGAAAAAGGGTATCGGACAAATTAAATTGGCAAACAAGAAATACAAACTGATAATAAAAAAGAGAGATGGCAAAGTGTTACAAGGCCTTCCCTGTACATTAAAAAGTTAGTAGGCAAAGAACTTGACAACAAAAGCTGTCAATAGCTAAGAGTGGAAAAGTTGAAGAAAGACACAGAGGGGCTAATTCTGGCTGCACAAGATCAAGTCTTAAGAACAAACGCATGCAAAGCCAGAATTGAGAAGATAGCTGTAGATAGCAAATGCTACCTTTGCAAAGAAGCTGAAAAAAATGGGTCATCTAGTTAGCTGCTGTATAGGTGCATAGACTGACTACAAACATTGGCATGACAAAGTAGCAACAATTGTTCACTGGAAGATTTGCAAGAAATAGCACTTGCCCACAAGCAAGAACTGGTGGCAATGCAAAATAGAGAAAATAACAACTTATTTTTCTGCAGATCTCACATAGGAAGCATATGGTTTTCCTTTGCAGACCCTGTCATATTTAGAGGTCATGACCCACCACAGTTGCTTATCAGCAGCTCCATCTTTCATGCAAGGGGGTTAGGATTTCTGCTTGTAAACAAATGGGAATACACAGGTAGCAGGAACTGGAAAGAAACCATAAAACAATTCTCTAAGGTACATTATGTCCTCTTAAGCATTTGTTGTTAAAATTATTGAATAATGAACTACACTATGACCTGCACTGCCGGTCATCTTGACAAAGACTCATATAAATAGAGCTGCCTTTTTTTCCCCCTCCAATCATTATTATTATTATTATTATTATTTAATTTGATTTATATGTCGCCCTTCTCCGGAGACTCAGGGCAGCTTATAATGCATTAAGCAATAGCCTTCATACTTTTGTATATTTATACAAAGTCAGCTTATTGCCCCCACAAACTGGGTCCTCATTTAACCTACCTTAGAAAGGATGGAAGGCTGAGTCAACCTTGAGCCTGGTGAGATTCGAATTTACAGTAATTGCAGGCAGCTGTGTTAATAACAGGGTGCTTTAAACCACTGTACTACCAAGGTTCTATTTGCCCTAAAATGCAGAAATTGAATATACTGTTTATGTTTCAACTGCCAAACAGTACAAATCCAAATTGACAAGCCATTCTGAGTTTCAGGAGACCCATTAAGACTGAAGTATTCCATCAAGTACAGGAGGAGAGCATGCTGTGTTTGATAATTTGATAAGAGCCAACACATGTTTGTGTAGATTTTTTTTCTTTTTTGCAAGATGTTTGATACCTTAATTGTATAAAGGAATTGTGGGGATTTGATACTTTATTTGTGTGAAGGAATTAAGAAGGGAAGGAGAAAGGAAAGAAGGGAGGGAGGGAAAAGGAGGGAGAGAGGAAGGAGGAAGGAAGAATGGCAAGGGAGAATGCATTAAAAGGGCCCATCACCTCCATGAGATAATTAAGAAGATTTGAGAAAATATATGTTTAAATCCCACTTGATTACACCTTCTTCCCAGTATAAATTTTGAAGCTTATGCTGTCATCAGCAGCTCAATCACTCAATCCTCCCTAGTTAATAATAGTTACGTAATGCTTCCACATTAGGGACTAGTCATTATGACTTGTTGATGTTTTTAAATAAGGAATCCATTCATGTTTAAATAATGTGACCCTATGTAGCTCAGAAGAATTGGTAGATATATAAAGAAGAAAATACAGGAATTGGCAGTTTTGCAAGAAAAGTGAAAGGACATTTTTGAAAAACTGGAACAAGCTAAAACTGGAAACCAGTTCTAAATCTAAATTAGCATTTGACAAATCTACTTTTCTATACAAACACTTCTTGCATTCTATTCATATTGGATTGCCTGTTTCTAATTGCCACAAGGATTACATACTGGTAAATCTCTGAACTTTTGAGCATATTTTCCCAAGGAAAATAAAATATGCAGAAGTACTTTTGGTACCTTTCTCTAGTGGAAGAATTGGGAACATAATCGACTTTTTTTTTTTTATCACAAGCATCAATGTTCTAGGGCAGTGATGGTGAACCTTTTAGGGACCGAGTGCCCAAAGTGCAACCCCAAACCCACTTATTTATCACAATTTAACCTGAATAATGAGGTTTTGTGAGGAATTTCAATCACTCTCACAACTTGACTTCTCCCTGGTGGCACTGGATTTCTTTAATAGTACAACTCAGGAAAGATGGGAGTGCAGTGCAGTAGCTTCTGGAAGGCCATCACATCCTTATTCTTCCTTCCTTCCTTCTCCTTCCTTCCTTCCTTCCTTCCTTCCTTCCTTCCTTCCTCCTGATTTCATCTTCCTTCTTTTAATCCTGTATATTATGGTTCGTTATTGTTAGTATTTATTAGAGAATGTTGTGTATCTTAGAAGTTCTCAGCAAAAATAACAGCAGCTGCTGTTTATGGCTGAAGCTATCCTGGGCTGTTATTTACACACACACACAAACGGACACACACATAAACACACACCTATTTTTATTCCATTTTCCCTGGGTTTTTGGGAAAGAAATGGCATCCCTTCCCCATCCTTGTCTTTAATAAACCTTAAAAAAAAACCTCACAGCCTTTTAGCTACTATAGTCCCACCTTACTTCCCCCTCCCCTTAAAATGAGGATAGGGAAGAAAGCCGGGAGGGGGGATCTAAGGGGGAGAGAGGAAGAGACCCAGGCACATCCCTCTTTGAATAGCCTCCTGCCCAGATTTCAAATTTCTTCTCCGATCTGCCGATGAACAGACCCCCACCCCCCTTTTTAGACTCTGGATTGACAGGCCTTTATTTTCCACATTTATTGGGGGAAATTGGATTTTTATTGGGTCTTCCCCCCACCCCATGCCAAAAGGAAAGCCAATCAGGCTTCTCCTCCTAAAAGCCCCCCTACCCTTTCCCCTGCTCCCTGCTTCCTTCCCCCTACCTCCCACTCAATCCCACTTCAGGACAGAGAACCGCGCTCTGGAAACGCATTTTGGGTGATGTGGGAGTGCACCTTCTGACCCTCCAGCACTCAGCCCACAACTCTCCACATTCCTCCAGGCCTGGCTTGCTGAGGAGGAGGGAACAGCCCTGATGTCTCTGCTGCCCCCCACCACCCCATGGCCATCGCTTCCCAGCTTCCTCAAAGGCATGGCACATTTCAAAGGTGACAGCTTGTGTCTGGAGGTGCCGAACAGTGTCCCACTGTGAGAGCAGGGCCAGGCCTCTCCACCATCTGACACGTCAATGAGGGCACTTCTGTCAGGCCAGTCGCCCCACTGGGCTTTTATGCTCGGTGCTTGCCCGGGGGAGGAGAGCGCTTCTCTATGCCACCCTTTCTTTCTCTTGGCCCAGCCATCGAGGGAGGAGGTAGGCCAGGCTTGAGTAATGAACCCCACCCCACAAGATCCACCCCCGCCATTCTCTCCCAGGCATCTTTGCTGGCAGCAACAGCAACTGTACCACAATGAAGGCGGAATACTGTTGCCATGCAAAGGCAAGTGCTGGGGCACTTTGCTTCCACACTAAGGCTCTACCCATCCCCATTGCCATGACAGGGCGACAGCTCTTTCATCCCTCTGCCATGAGAAGGTGACAGGGAGTCGCAGCAGAGGAGTGAAAGAGCTGCATGGGTCGTATTGCGGTTCCACATCATAATAGGTTTCAGAAGGAGAACAGGACCCCGCCTCCCCCATTGTGAAGCATGCATGTGAAAAAGTTCATTCAAGATAATAATTCGAGATGGATAAACTTACCAAGGAGATCCAAGGAAAAGAAGAATCTGAATATTATCTGGTCTGGCAAAAATGGTATAAATGGTTAGAGGGAAGTGAAAAAAGAAGAGAAGAAGAAAGAAAGAAAAATTGAATAAAAGAAAAGATATCAATATAGTAAAATAAAGTTTTAAATCAAATGAAATTTAAGAAAGAGACACGAGATATCAATAAAATAATATCATTATATAAGGTGAGAGAAATATTGTATATTGAAGAATATAGGATATTGATATTGTAACAATTCAGATATTATAGGTAGATGTTATAAAGATGATGTTTGTTGTAAATTGTTTTACTTGCATTTATAAATGTATTATGTGGTTTCTTAAATTAATAAAAATTTAAAAAAAGAAAAAAAAAGAAAAAGTTCATTCAATCAATTCCAACTTAACGAGATTTTTTTCTTTTGCGAGAAGTTGGAATTGATTGAGTGAAACGCGATGGAGAAACACAATTGAAGCTGGGCTGGGGCAACGGCGTGTGTGCCCACAGAGAGGCTCTGCATGCCATGTCTGGCACTCATGCCATAGGTTTGCCATCATGGTTCAGCATGCCTAATTGCCCTCTCCCTTAGACTAGATTTTTATTTTGTTTGTATTTGTTTGTAGTCTGTTCGTAGTTATTCACAGGGGTTTACTTGTCATTTGAAAACCTTGTGTTTTACTCATGAAATTGCTGGTCTTAGTTATGCCATTTCAGCTACCAAAGATTCAGCATTCAGAGAATGAGTTCGCTGTTGGAGCATGGGACAATCCTTCAAATTCACTCAATTCAATCCAGTAGACTGAGTATGCTGCAGAGCCTATTGGCCAAAGAATGTTCTGGCTGGTGGGCCCAGAAGAAGAACCTTCTTTGCTACAGTTCCTGCTCTGTGGGGACTGAGCGACAGCCTCTTTTCTGTTGAGGCCTTCAGAGATAGAATGGCCTCATCTCTTTTGATCTTTTAGAAAGCTTTAAAAACGTGGCTATGTACCTGGGCATGAGGCTCCAAAGATGCTACAGAACCCTTTTCTTCGTTTTATTGTCAATTAGTCAACTAGTTCAGCTGCTGTATATATATGTTTTGGATTGTTTTTATTGATTTTTCCTGTTTTATCATTTCAGAATTGTAAGCCACCCAGAGTTATTTACGGTAGTTGAGATGGGCAGCGATAGAAATTAAATAAAAATAAATAGGATTACTTTTCTCTTTTATTCTAAGGTACACTTTTTTATTTTCAAAAGAATGCTAAAAGCACCTGCAGTTTCCCTCAGGATCATTTGGCTAAACAGCACAACAATAGACATTTTCCCTTCAGGCTCCAGATAGTATTACTATTTCTAAGGTTCCCTGCTTGAAAAGTTCATCATATATATAAAAGCTGACCTACAATCCTCTTTTCTTTAGTGGGGGTGTTTGTATGATTTGGTGATGGGCTTTGTTTTTAGTTATTTAATACTAGTAACCCTTTTGCAAACTAAGTCAAGTGATTCAGTCCATTCCATCCTATTTAAATTACTGTGTATATCCTGCCCCTTTCTTCAAGAATTAAAGTAGCATATATATAGCATGGCTTCACCTCATTTTTTTCCATAAAGTTGGGCAAGAATGAATGCCTAGCCTAAAGATACCCAAAGAGTTTTTATGGCTAAGGCAGACATGCCAGATATAATTACAAAGTTGCATATACCACAAATGTGTGTGGTTTTTATTCATTTATTAGTTCATGCTCAGGAGACAGTTTAGTCTTAAATGGCATGCAAATAATTGTTTGTCACCAAAAAAAAAAAAAAAATGACAAGGCCAGACAGTGAAAATTTTGGCAGTGTTTACATGGTCCTAGAACTGCAAGTTGTGCAATGGATCTTTAGCTATTTCTTTTCATAGATGAGGACTGTGATGAGTATTGCTACACTCCTTAGAGAAAGAGCAAAACTTTGAAAAAGAAAGACAAGATAAACATCCACTTAACTCTGAGAAGGAAGAGGGAATGAGAAAGAAAATCAAGATAACATCGCCGTGACTCTCTTTAGTATAAGAAGAGGCAGTGGGAAAATGTCAGGCTTTCAAGATTCTGCTATTAAGCCCCATAACAACAGAATTTCCAAGTAATTCTTACGATGTCTGTTTTCTAGTCTGAAATATATTGATTGGGAATGCATACATTTCTCTGCTACCATCACATGACAGTTACAAGCAAAAAATAATAATTGCCCCAGAGAGTTACAGAAAAAATTTATTTCCAGATCTAGAAAGCAAGGAAAAATCAACTTCTGTAGTACATTGATTCTGGCTGTGGAAAAGTTGCAGCAAGGCCTGATGATTGGCTGGTCTATCTTTGAGGACATGAGCTGAAAAATACAAAGGAATATTCAGTCAATCTGTATGTCATTATAATGTATCAACTCTATACAGAGTTCAATCTGGAAGACAGCAGACTGGCATATTTAAGACAGACCAGGAGGAATAAAATAAAATTCTTTTAACATTTCATATACAAAGCAAAACATAGCTTTTTCAATGAAATGCACTGTAAAGTCCTATTATCAAGTCTCAGGCAAAAGAAGTGGTTCCATTTGGAAGTTGTCAGATGTAATCCTTGGCATTTTCAATGAAAGAATCCTAAACGGCTCCTCTCAGCCAGGCAATGCTTTGACTAGGAGATTTCTGCTTATAACTTTGAAATATTAATGGTCAGACTACCATTGATGATACAATTAAAGCAACTGCATACACTCATGCAGTTTTTCTTTTAGTTCCTTCACTGCATTAAATTCCTATTAAAAACAATGTTTCATAATTGTTTGTCTCCTGCTCCTCTGCCAATATTACATTAATAATATGGAACTACTAAGTAGCATCTACGTTTCCCAAATCATACTTTACCAGTCTTTTATAAGAAAGGTATATAAGGAGAAGGGAGAAGTTCAAAACCAAAGCCATGATCAGTGTGTCATAAGCACAGTATATTATAGAATGTACGTCTTCCAGCCTGATCAGTCCTCAAAGGTGAACTGGAGGAAAGATTGAAGGAGTCTGGCTTGTTCAAATATGGGAATTAGCCACTCAGCCAATGAAGACCAAGGGCAGAGGAAGCATAAAATAGACTGGATGTCTAAAAAGTAATGGCAAGAAGGCTGCAGGTTCTGAAAGTGCTTCAGATTTTCCATAGGAAATACATGCAATCTCAGGAGCATTATTTCTACAATCTTGTTCTAATCTTTTTTTAAAAAGTGCTATGAGAAAATTTATTTCAAAACATAGGTGCTATCCAAATGAATGGTACATTTATTTTCCACAGATCTACGGTATCAAACCCACTAGCATAGCAAGATGTTCACAGATAAAAGGTGCATCTCCAACAGGTAGAAAATCAGTTGACAACAGAAGAGCAATAAATGTGTAATGTCAGAAACTGCTGAAATGAAGATAACTTTGGTCCATTCCCATCTAATGAAAACTTTCTCAATCCCCACCTGAAATTCTTCAGTTCAATTCAGCACAGAAGCCAACTATGATTGGCATCAGCATTGCCAGTGAGGGAACACCATTTTTTGTTATCAGCACGCCCATCACTGGTACAGTTGTCATATGACTGTCCACGAAAGATAAAAGGAAAGACACAATCCGCTTCTAGATGATAAGAAGAATAAAATATGGAAAAGGGTTTTTTTTTAATTTTCTTGGTCTACATATCTTCTTCCTCTACAAAATGAAAAATTCAAACAATTTAACATTTTTTAAACCATCTCCAAAATGTGGAGCCTACAAATTCAAAATTAAAAACTAATATAATTCAAGTTTCCTTCAGTCTTTTTACCTTTGCCCACTTGTACTGATGGTCAATTCAAATCACAAAAGATTTGCTATATGATCATACAGGTAATTCTTGATTTATGACTGGTCTCTTAGCAGCCATTCAAAATTACAATGGTTCTCACTAGGAGTATTTACAACCCAGATTCAAAGATCCAACAGCTATTACCACTACCACCATCTACAGTAACAGGACCTATGTCAAGTGGTTGGCCACCAGTTCATATTTACAGATGTTTGCAGCATATTGCAGTCACATGACCATATTTTACAATGTATTTGCAAAAAATTGGCATTTACTTCTGGTTTTCACCAAAATTGATCCATGGCAAACAATTGGTTTGATTAACAACCATGACATTTGTTTAATGACCACTACAAAAAAGGTCATAAAATTGGATTGGTCGTGTGGGTGACTCTCTATACAATTGTCATGATTTATGACCATGATGCAGGGGTAAAATTCAGCAGGTTCCAACAGCTTCTGGAAAACCGATAGCGGAAATTTTGAGTAGTTTGGAGAACCAGCAAATACCACCTCTGGCTGGCCCCAGAGTGGAGTGGGAATGGAGATTTTGCAATATCCTTCCCCTGCCACGACCAAGCTATGCCCACAGAACTGGTAGGGAAAAATTTTGAATTTCACCCCTGCGTGATGGGAAGGCTCAAGTTCATAAGTTGAGGAGTACCAGTATTTAAATGTAGAGTATTCATTTGAACTCTAAAAATTGAAATGAAGGAGAGATGTCTTACATTTAACTGCATACAAGCAATGTAACTTCTGTATTTTTTTTTTAAAAAAGTGTCTATTGCAAGTAAAATTGAAGGGAAAGACATAATGAAAATGATCTGATTGTATGGAAAGGAGATGAAGATACCTGCAGGACGGTGAAAGTGTAGATTTAAATATGAGAGGAAGTGCTAAAATGTACAAATTGGCAGTGAGTGTATATGAAAATACGAATACATAAATTAAATACTGGTGGAATGGTATTAGGTAATATGTAATCTGTTGGGGAAAATTAACATTTTTATTTTTTTTAAAAAGTAACTATATATAAAAGCATATTTTTACCTCTTGATTATATGAAAGTTACAGTTGGATATAACAAGAAAAACATAAAATAATTTCCTAGCACTGCCCTTTGGCTCACCATTGCATAATCTCCATTTCAGACCACTTTTGTAGTCCGGAGTGGTGGCACACCAAGTTTTTCCTTCATTGTGATCCATGGTGGTACAGCTTTCATACTGTTTTCCTTTATAGATGAAAGGAAAAACACAGCCTGTTTCTGATTTTTTTTAAAAAAAGACAAAAGAGAAAGGGGCCATCAGTATTTATTTGAATTCAGTCTTTCCTTCAATAAATCACATAAATTCTGCCTACATGCAGCTTTAAAAACTAATTCTGATTAATATTAATTATATCTATAATATTATATAGAAATAATTCATCTATAAATGAATTATTTATAGAAAATCCTTTTTTTAGTCCACCAATGTAACCACAGAGATGGAGGAATTTGATTGTCTCTTTTATTCCATGACTTTGAAATGTTTATTTTGACATGAAATATATTTTGTGCTTCTGTTTTTAATGAATTGCTCTGGAACATCCAAGAAGTGTGAAGGCGACAAATAGCTTAAATTTCTATCTAAATATTAATGCATAAATGTGTAGATTACATCACTTCATACATTAATTTACAGAACTGTGGACGTTTTCTGTGGAAGTGAGAAACTGAAAAACAACACAGCTTCAAATAACAAGCTTTCTGGTGTTGATGAATCTTATTGTGATCACCTAATGCTGGGTCATCTAATGCAGCTGTGAATGGAATGGAACAGAACGGAACAGAAGAGAACATAACAGAAGAGAACAGCAGAGTTGAAAGGGACACTGGAGGTCTTCTAGTCCAAACCTCTGGTCAGGCAGGAAACCCTACACCATTTCAGACAAATAGTTGTCTAATCTCTTCTTTAAAACTTCCAGTGTTGGAGCATTCACAACTTCTAGAGGCAAATTGTTCCACTGATTAATTGTTCTAACTGTCAGGAAATTTCTCCTTAGCTCCAAGTTGCTTCTCTCTTTGATCAGTTTCCATCTATAGCTTCTTGTCCTGTCCTCAGGTGCTTTGACTCCCTCTTCTTTATGGCAGCACCTGAGATATTGGACACTGCTATCATGTTACCCTGGGTCCTTCTTTTTATTAAACTAGACATTCCAATTCCAGCAACCGTTCTTTATATATTTTAGCCTCCAGTCCCCTAATGATCTTCATTGCTTTTCTCTGCAATTTTTCTAGTCTCAACATTTTGATTAATCTGAATTTATTTTCTCTCACAGAAGTTCAGCTTCTTGATGGAAACCATTCAATTCAACTAGATCAAGATTTTTAAAACGAGGTGGCAACAGAGAACACAAACTGGCAGAGACTAAAAGAAATGTCTACATGTGACTATATAAAGAAATTATTTGTCTATTCATTTTATTCATTCAATGGCAGTCAGCAACTATCTCCTGCTAAAGGAGTATCTGCAGACTTTATATGCAACAAGTCCATCCCTAAAAAATCTCTTTTCCATTATAAATAGAAAATTATCTGTAATTAAGAAATCTCTCTTCAAATTATATGGCAGAAATAAATAAGACAAAATGACACAAGGTTTTTCAATTTGATCTTCTAATTCTGCCCAATTACAATACCTAGAACTCCAAGTCAGCATGGTCCAAGAGAGCAGTAGTTCTGGCCCACTGTAGATCATTATATCTGGATGGGTTTAGACTGGGAAAGTTTCCTTACAACTACAGTTTTTTCTCAGGTTCTGTCTCTCTGCCCACCATCTGCCATAAGGTGCTGGTACTGGACTTCATTTCAGGATACTTAGAAAGATCAGGGAAGCTCTTGAATAACTTAAAACATTATTCAATGTGTTAAAAATCTAACTACACCTAGTTCTTCTTATCAATGTGAAATAAGCAGTCAAACTACAGGTTGGTCTTCTATTTCTTCATTTATGCCATACTAGAAATTACTGGATAAAATGTACTTTTCCTCATCCTCCCTGCCACTGAGAGTTTACATTTCTCAGCCAGAGATTGCAGATGTCAAAATAATTCTTTCAAAAATAAAGAAAAGATATGCATTATGTTTTTTACAGAATTGTGGTGAGATATTGAGTGAGCCTATTGCAGCAATATGAAAAGAAAAAGAAAAGGCAAGGTACGCCATTTCAAGGATAATGGGATAAATCATGATGAGCAATTCATCAAATACATTGCTTTACTAAACCCACTTCACAAATTATACCTGTGTTTCCCCGATAATAAGCACTAGGGCTTATTTTCAGTGGTGTCTTATTTTTTTTTTCATGTACGGGAGGCCAACTTCTTCTGCTTGCTCGCGGTGGGGCAGGAGGCCACATGGTGCCCAGTGCCACTGCTGTGAGGTGGTGGGGTGGAGATGTCCTACCCAAAACCAGGCCACTCATGCCCCAACACCTGCTGGATGGGGCAGCTCCAGCAGCCCCATCCAGCAGGACCCATGTGGCCACCAGGCTACTTCTGCTTGCTTGCAGTTGCAACAGAGCAGGAGCCCAAATGATGATCAATGATGCCGAGGCAAGGCGCGGGTGGAGCTGTCCCATGCATCCTGCACTGGCTTACCTCAGGGCCCCTGCAGCCAGGCCATCCAGGCCCCAACACTTGCCTTGCTTCGCAGGCATGGCACCAACAGACTGCTTGGCCTCCTGCTCCACTGCAGCCAGCAGAAAAAGTGGGCCGGTGGCCAGTTGGGCTCATGCTGCACATGGCTGCCAGTGCTGTCGCCACGAAAGAGAATGGGTGGCTGGGTGGCTGCACAGGCTCTTAAGTAGGGCTTATTTTGGGAGTAGGTCTTAGATGCATGTGTAAAAACATACTAGGAATAGGATCTTATTTTCAGGGAAACAGGGAAGTATAATCACTGTATGGAAACAAAATTATACCATCCAAAACCAATTCCCAGTCAGTTTTGAATGAATATGAGCTTAGAATTCTCCTGGGTGAAAATCAATCAATCAAAAAGGTTACTTCTCTTCACCATTCCCTTTTCATTCTCTTACTTGTGATAGTACAAAAAGTCATTCTCTTATCTACATCATAGTTCTTGGTGATGGCACACCAGAGTTTTCCATCTTCTTGTCCATCGCTTGTACAGCTGTTGTAGCTCTTATCATTGTAAGTAAATGGAAAGACACATTTGTGAGTTTCCTCAGTTGTGCCTGGCCCTGCATTGAAGAAAAAAAGAAGAAAGGTGAAAAAGCAAAATTCAAGAGAAAGATGTGCAAAATGTAGGAACTAATGAAAATGAATGGGTGTTTGTTGCAACAAAGTGTCTTCCATTGTTCAACTCTAAAAACTTTGTCATTCAGGTTTTTCAAAAATAGGCCTCTTTTTTCTAGGCCAACTAAAACAACTCCATTAATCTTTTTGTACCTGTGTCATTGCAGCACATCCATTTTTTATCCACATCATAGTTGCCAGTAGTGGCACACCACTTCTTCCCATCCCTCATGCCATTACTGATGCATGTGGTATAGGAATTGCCATTGTAGATGAATGGGAAAACACAAGTTGGACCATCTATCTTTGGATCTGGATCTGGATTTTAAAAGACCACAATGGAAAAATACTCACTGGATTCAAAGGAATAATTTAAAATTGTTACATAGAAAGAATAAAATACTGTGTCAAGTAGTGAAAAGGCAAAATCTAAAGGAAAACTCACACCTAATTTTGCTGCAATTTCAACTTTGTGTTAGGTTAGAAATACATTGTTTTCAGCTTTCCAATACTGTTAATGCTTTGGAACTGGTGCTTCCTAAGGGATCGGAATAATTGAATGACAGCGCTTCTAGTCTCTTCTTTCTTCTCCAAAGCAAAAATGCATTGATTTTGGAAAAGACAAAAAGAGACAATAAAGAAAGTTCTCACCAGCAGACCATCTGGGTGCCTTTCTTGCAAAGAGGTTCAAAAAGTTATTTCTCTTTTAGAATCATGCGGTGTATATTTTGCTAATTAGAGAAGCACACTTCATCCTAAATTAGCTGCCCCATTCCTGTATTTTCTAATAAATTGGGATTCTTCTCAAATAATGGATTTGCTGAAGATTTTGTAAATTAAAATCAAGAACATTAGAAATGCAATCAAGGACATTGCAATATTTGTTTGTTTTTGGCTCTTTATTTCAACATTTTTGTACCCTTCCTCTGTAAGGACTTCTACCTACCAATTGTAGGTTCTTCCCTACTGTAAGAAGAAGCTCTAAAGTAAGAGAAACCAGATAAAGGCCACCCAAAAAGCATTTTAACCACCATACTGGCTGTTAAAAAAAAAAAGCCTAGAGCCACTGCCACCTACTGTCCAGAGGAATAGATTTAAGAAATTATTTTTAAATTGTTTTAAAAGTATTTCCATCTATGATTGTTGATGTTGCCTATAAGTTAGTATTATAAGTTTGTGTCCAGAAAAGTAGTTTCTGTTGCAATTAGCAGTAGTAGTATTTTGCTGCAGCAACTGCTGCTGTCCTACCTGTGATATTACAGTACGTCCATTTCTTATCTACATCATAGTTGCTAGTGGTTGCACACCAGCATCTTCCATTTCTCATGCCATCTCCAGTACATGTTGTATATAATTTATCTTTGTAGATAAATGGGAAAATACATGTTGGATCTTCAACATTTGGATCTGGCCCTAATGAAAAAAAATCATACAAATATTCAAAACACACAAAAAAATACTTGTTTTATTATGCTCCTCATACTAAAGACACAGCAGCAGACTCTACACGTGCTTTTATTGAAGGGTAATAGACACAACCTACAACTGGAATGTACCTCATCTCTTGCAAAAGCAACCTGCATTGATGGCCATATGAATGGACAAAAACAATATTTATACAGAGTTCCTTCCATACCAAGTACTGTATATGGCAAGTGGCACCTCCAGATATTTTGGGTTCCAATTCTCACAATCTCTTACCATTAGTTATTAATCAAACTGTGGGATTGATGGTACATTAAATTCAAAATATTTGAATGACATCAAATTGCACACTCCTATCTTAAGCCCCATCATGTGAAGCAAATATGATTGTAGCTCTTGCATAATGCCGTAACATTTCCTTCTCCATTCCTATACTTCCAAAATACCAGAAACTTTCTAAAAAGAATCCATGGAATCAAAGATTAGAATTTATCTTATAAAAATCTTATCCAGCAAGGGAGAAGCCTGACATATATACATCCAGCCACTTTTTCCAATGGAATGACATTTAATCTAGTTCTCATGAGATCACCTGATTCCTCTGAACAGAACCTCCACATTTTGTCAATATCATAGTTACTGCTGGTGGCACACCAAAATCTTCCATCACTCCTGCCATTTGTGGTACAACCGGTGTAAACCTGGTTCTTGAAGACAAATGGAAAGACACAAGGTAGACTTTCCACATTCTCAGCAGGCCCTGACAATAAGAAAGAAGAATTTGTAAATATTGCAAAACTCTTTCCAACATATTCTTTGCTTATTTCCAGAAGTAGAAGTTCTTCTCTTTTTTTTTAGAGTCTTAATTATAGTTGCTTTACCCAACAAGGCTTTACCCATTTTGCTCTACAGAAAATGGACTATGTCCCACAAACCATGGATCATGGTCATGCAAATTCCATCAGTTCAAGACCCACACTTGTACAGCTTGTTAAGATTACATCCCAAAGTACAAAGCCACTGTCTATTATCTGAAGAGGCTTTAGATATGTTTTTGCAAGTAAGTAAGTACTTTTGTAAGTATTTGGAGTTTAAGATACCAAGTCTGTCCATGAGAACCTTCCGTATCAAAATGCAATCATAAAATGGATGCTGCTGCATTTTGTATACTCCTGCTCAGACAGTAATATAGCTAATCACATTAGGAAATGGTGTATTTTCCTAGGGTGAAGGATTGCAAAGAATTGTAATAATGCATTTCTGATTAACGTGAAAATTAATACTGATTTTTGCAGCTGAATATTCCAACATATTTTTAGCTTTAAAAAATTAAAATCTTTTTTGAAAATGCATATTTGAAAGAAAAATTGTACCAACTATATTTTGAGGTAAAAATACCTGTTCTACAGTGCTTATTTAAATATATTCCAGGTTGATATACAGTATCTGGCATTTAAGTGCACACACATAGAAGATCTATTTGTCCTCTCCTATCCCATAGAAGCATAGAACAAAATCTCTGGCAAGTCTGCATGAGAAGAGAACCAGAAGATCTATCTTTCTTTTTTGAGTCTTCACAGGGGACTCAAGATGATGGAAATATCCAGTCAGTCAGAGTTCTGGGGATGTTTTACATGCACACATGTATTGGACATACTCTCAATTTTTCTGATGCTCCCTACAGATGCTCCATTCTTCTTCTATATCTGACATTCTTCAGAGCTCCTTTTATTCTCCTTGACAATTATTAAAAAATAATCTTATTTATTGATTTTCCAATCTTTACATTATACTTGAACTTATCTTGTAAAGTCATTTGATGTTCTTTTCCTACCTGTGTCATTACAATATGCCCATTTTTTATCTACATCATAATTGTTGGTGGTGGCACACCAGAATTTCCCATCACTCATGCCTTCATTAGTGCATGTACTGTAGATCTTTTCCTTGAAGATAAATGGAAATACACATGATGGGCTTTGTATCATTGGATCTGGCCCTGGGTTTTAAACAAAAAAGCAAGTGAATACAAGGACATGTGATCCGTTCTTATCAATAGTGAATGCAAACTTAGAATCCACAAAAAGTCATAAATAAAACCAAAAGTCAATCCCTATTATTGAAATGGTCTGCTCACATGCTTTCAAGCATTCATTTTTCTCCTTTATTTCTACCTCAGGCCCAGTAAGTAACAGTTTAAATAAATATTAATTGTGCAGTTGCTAGGCCTGGAAAGACCCTAGACAAGATGCCCTTTATGGATCCCATCCTTCCATATTTCCATCCATACATCTTCTAGCTATTCTTTTCCAATTTTTTTCTATTCTATTTATCCAGAGGGGGGGAAACAGAAAGAAGAAAGACATTTATTCAGTCATTTGATGTTTAGAAATTCTGTGGAACAAAATTTGAGTATTTTGTTCCTTGGGTGATTCTGGGACATACCCTTTCATTCATTCTTAGAGATACCACTTTTAACCAGATATTATCAGAATGGTATGTAGAGGCCATCTTTTCTTAAACTCTCCGAGCAGAAAGACACATATATTACATTTTGTCATGCTTCCATGTATAGAGTTATAAATGACCTTGTCAACCCTTCCTGGATGGAAAAATTTCTCTATTTTTATCCAGAATATATCCTATGGGATGTTTTCAGTTACAATGACTATAGGAGGCACCATGTTACTCATTTTATCCTTATTAGAATCTGATATTGGTAGCCAAATATTATTCTATAATTTGCTGTTGGTGTTAAAACTAGCTCCCCATCCTTAGTTCTGATGGAGCAACAGGGACATTTTCTATTGCTCTATTTGACATCTACCTACCTTTGGGGCTCACTGACATTTCAATTCTGTTCGATTGACAATGTGTTCTATGTACAGTATGTAAGTATCTTGCCACATGTAAAATTCAAAAAAATCCCTTGCACTCAAAGTTACATCTCTCTCTCTGATCAATTACTCCAGACTTGACCTGACATAACTTCACTCATAGGATGATTCACCATTTTAAAAAAAACTCAACATCTAATAGTTTCTTACCTCTTATTCAAGAGAGTATAGCAAACCATTTCATATCTCTCTTCCCCCTCCCCCCTTCTCTCCTGCCAAATTCATATGGATATCTAGTGAGGGATAGTTGAATATGAGCAAGCCCTTATTACAATATCAGATCCTTAGGAGTTCTTGTAGGACCTATAGAAAGACACTACTGATGGTAAGCATTAACCCTAAAGCAATTGCTTATATTCAATTACCTCTTGACAGACAGGAACACCATCAAAGACATGATAACATTTTCTGGTTTACATATAGAATATGCAAAACCATGTTTCAAATATCTGTTAGTCATTCAATTCAAACATATTCCCTCATATATTTTATTATGACCCCTCTTTTCTTCTTGTAACATTTCACTTCTTTACCTAAATCTTGGCAGAGCTTCAATTTCCTATCAACATCATAATTCTGGGTTGTTGCACACCAGAACTTCCCATCTCTCCGTCCATCTGCAGTACAATTTCTGTAAAGCTTTCCCTGATAGATGAAGGGGAAAATGCATGGTGGGCTTTCCATGATCTCATCAGGCCCTGATATTTAAGAATATAATAGAAGAATGAAATTAATCAGAATTATCCTTGTAGCAAAGTAACTGAAGATAGAATAATGTGCACCAAAGCACATAGTCATTCCATTCATGCAGTGGATTTATTAAATGCCTGGAAGAGAGATCACACGCAGGTACCCTGCTTGGACTTCTTTCATTTTCTTGAAAAGTTTGGATGGATGTTTGTAAGCTTAACATCTTCTAGGGGTCCTATACTGTATATATATAGATAGGAATAAGAATTAGTTAGACTGCTAGAAGATAATATTTGTAGCTCAAGGCTGAATTGTGGAGTCCTTGGTGCCCTCTGAGCTTGGTTTCTACTAGCAATGATGGTTTTACCTAATTTGGTAATTAAAAATCTGCAAGAAAACAACTAACTTCAGAGAGGAGACCTTTGCTTTAAGCAATATACTGAATCTCAATTTATCCCACACACTCAATAAATAACATGCATGCATAAAGAAAGATGCAGTGACTTCTATTGTGTGTTTCTTTCTCTCCAATACCTATAATATCTTGTTTAATATAAAAATTGTTTCAGCTTTTTGCCTGATATTTCCTCAGTTTTATCTAAGATAATTCACTTTTGATGAAGCAAGCAGTGATAGATCAATCATTGTACAACACAATATTCTGAAACAACTGTTTCTATCACAAACCACAAAGTTGTAAAAATGACTACACATGAGAAATGAAAACCATATAGAGTGCCATGTTGATGTGCTATATCACAATATCTGATGTAATCATGCAACTCAGTACACTGACATGACGGTGACATCACTCGTGTTTTCATCCCTCATTATAAAAATGTTGATGCCCTGAAATAATGGAAGGAGGAACATGGAGTGCCATTAAGTTCATATTTAATGAACTAGTTTCTTTTTGGGCAATAGAGAAATGATTGGAGTCATTTTACTAAATAATTTACTAATTATTTCCTATGAATATTTCTGAGTATTTTATTATTCACATTTTCCATCTCTTGAGGAACATGTTTTGAGTTACGAAGAAAACAAAGCCCCACACTTAAAAGTTTTTTTAAAATACCCCTTTCCCCTAGAAAATATTCAGTAGTCACCTTCATTCTGCACTACAAATTCTTCAGACAGTGATGATCAGAAAATATTTCCTCAGTTTGTAAAATTTGAGTTATCTCGTAACATTTTGGAAGTTCCTCAGAAAGACATTGTAAGGGTGTCTACATACAGACTATTTTTGTAATTTGTGTCCAATACCAGACAGCCCTTATTTGGGGAGAAAATGTTTATCTTTGGGGATGTATTAGGGTGCTCGATATTGTTTTGAATGACTATTTTCATTTAAAATTGGACCTGGTTTGCTATAACCTGGCAAATAACACTGCTATCATCAGTGTTTCATTCGACCCTTATGAAATTCCATGCACAAAAAAGGTTTTGCTTCTACTTCCACACCATTCGGTTCTCACCAGCTCAAGGGTGACTCAGCCTTCCATCCTTCTGAGCTCAGTAAAATAAAGACCCAGATTGTTGGGGGCAATATGCTGACTCTGTAAACCACTTAGAGCAGGGCTGTCAAACTCCCAGCCCATGGGCTGGATGTGTCATGCATTGGCCATGGCCACGCCTGATTTAGCAAAGGTAGAAAAAGTCCCAATATGTCACATGAAGACGCCATGACTCCATAAGTTTGACACCCCTGGCTTAGAGAGAGCTGTAAAGCACTGTGAAGTCTTTAGTGCTATTGCTATTGTGATTCTTCCTACCTGAAGGCTCACAGTAAGTCCATTGCAGGTCTGAATTATAGTTTTGGGTGAGGGAACACCAAGATGTCTTGCCAAACATCCCATCTGTTGTGCACATGAAGTAGAAATTTTGGTTGTACAAAAAAGGAAAGACGCACATTTCTTTGGGTTCAGCATCTGAACAGAATATATGAGATAAAGTTTGTTGAGACCTCAGGTCATTCAATTCCATTGATGTGGTTTTTTTTATTTAAAAAACAATTTAAACTGTACAACCAAAATATAGTTCATTTTATGTTTATGGATTCAAATCTCACATTTGAGGTGCATTAGAAACTTTTTTTGATACATTGTGAAAGTAAACTTTAAATAAGAAATCAAAGCAACCATTCACTTATAGTAGGAGGAATCAGTTACTGTATATACAGTAGGTAGTCCTTCATTTATGGCCTGGACATTTAGCACCCATTCAAAGTTAAGATGGACACCACAAAAGCTACTTATGCCCCCAATTCAAAATTCTAACAACTGCCCCCCCCCCCACATGGTCACATTTAGGGCACTTAGCAACCAGCCTGCACTCATGGCCATTTGCAGCATCCCGCAGTCATGTAGCCATGAATGTTTTTGCTGGATATCGGCATTTACTTCCAATTTCCAGTAAAAAAACATTCCATAGCAAGCAATAAGTTCACTTAACAAGCATGACATGCACTATAGGACTGCTGCATTTATTTAATGAACACTGAAAAAAATTGTAAAATCAGGCACAATCATGGGGTAACCCACAATGGCCATCACGATTTATTATTTTAATAGTGGGCTCAATTACAGTCGTAAATGGATGGCTTTTCATGTGATTTGTTGCTATAATGTTAATTGAGCTCAATGTGTTTAACATAGAAATAACTACAGGTATGGCATTTGAATCTACTGTTGGTTGCCAGATATTGATTATGTTCATTTTCTCCAATGATAATATCACAGTGCAATGATAAACGCCCAAAGTAAATAAAGGCCCAAACTGAGACCGAGTAGTCTTAAAGCAAGTATATGAATACTTGCATTATAGCAGGTTCTCCAAATCTTGGTAGATCTGGTTTAGCCAAAAGCATCAATTTGGAGGCCAGCTCTATTATTAGGCAGTATGAAATAGTTGTATTAGGAGTAAATATTCAATAGTATGTAAGGTATAATAGCAACAAAATTTAGCCATACTTCTTCTTTGGAGAACAGGGCTGTCTATCCTAGATTATCTGCCCTGGAACTCCTAAATGAGGGCTGCGTGTATGAGATCCCTTAGACAAAAGTGAGCTTCGGGTCCCTGGTTTGTGATTATCCAGAGCCAATACTAGCTCCTGCTTTTTCAGGAGGCAACTTGACTTTTTCTTTTGAAGATGTTTTGCTTTTCATCTAAGAAGCTTTTTCAGCTCTGACAGGATAGTAGGGAATGGAAGGATTTATATTCCTTGCAGTCAGCTAGTAATTTGCATTCTTTTAGAGGGTTGTTGAAGCACTTGGAGGTTTATCTGTGTTCTCAGGGTCAACTGAGTTATGCTTCTGGTTCCTGTGGTCTGCAATTTTTTCCCCTCTGGAAATCCATTCCTACTCCCACACCATTCAAAAGGGTCTTCATCCAGCTTCCGGTTTGGCTTCCGTCATCGCTAGACGGTCTTTTGGGACCGCCACCCCCGCCGCCCGTAAAGAGCCGCCCTTACAGCTGAGGGGCGGCTCGAAAAACTCAGTTTCTTTAAGGAAATGTGAGGAGAGCTGGCGAGAGCAGGTAGAGCCCTCTGTGAAGTCCCCAGAGTTTTTTTTTTACTCTTGGGGAGGAAACAGGATGAGGCTCCCTATCCAGCTTGCCGCTGCTCTGGGCTTCGGGAGAACTCTGCACCTTGCAGAGCTAGACAATGTGACCAACCTAATCAGCGAAAACTAACAGATTGTTTGAATAAGCAGGATGAAATCCGGATTTGGGACTCTAAATCGCAAGTATTTGTAACAACCCTATGATTGATTTTAAGAATGAAGAAAGAGTGAAAAGGGAAAAAAATGTTTAAAATGGCGGCTGGCTGAGGCTTGAGAAGAAAGCTGAAAGCGAAAGTCTTTCCGTTTGAATGGCTTAATATGTTACAAAGTATTTGAAGTAATAGTGCTGGCTACAAGAGAAGAGAAAAATTTCTGTTTCATGCTTCTTCCTTCTTAGAGACTTGATATTGATATTGTGTGGAGAGAAGACTTTTTCTTTAAAAAGAGTCTGTTTGTATGGCAGGATGGCGTTAAAACTGACAAAGCCAGACGATCAAGCTGGGGGGGGCTCCCCCATTTATAAATCACAAGAGCAATTTTTGAGCTTGCAGGTGCAGAAGAATGGTTTTAAAGATTTAAAGGAATTTGTTGTGGAGGAGTTGGCAAGACATGATGAGATTATGAACCAGAATCTTGAAAAATTTAGACAGGAAATTAAAGAGTTGGTTCAACAAAAGTATGATAACCTGAAGCGCTATATTGTAACAGCTTTGAAAAGCTTTTCAGAAGTAATTGTACAGATGGATAAAGATATCAATTTAGAAATAGAGTCTAAAATGAAAGAATCTGATTATAAAATTCATAATCTGGATAATAAAATGCAAAGAATTGAAAATGATTTGACAATGATTCAAGAAAATAGCTCAGAAGTAGAGTCTAAAATAAAGGAAGCTGATCACAAGATTTACAATGTAGATAATATAAAGCAAAGGTTTGAAAATGAAGTTACGATGATGCAATTCAGATCCATGGAATTTGCGATCAGAATGAGGGGAATACAGGAAAATAACAGAGAGGACTTGAGAAAGATGTCTGCTGAAGTTCTGGCTGTGATTTTAAAGGTCAGCTCTGAAGAAGTATTCTGTAAGATTGATAAGGTCTACAGAGTAAATTTTTGGGTGGCACTTGCCTAGAGATGTGGTGGTTTATTTTACTGATAAAGGAATAAGAAATGATATTGTGCAAAAGTCTTTTAACTCCACTTTAGAAATGAATGGAATGAAGATCTGGATATATAAAGAGCTGCCGTCCAAGATGCTAAAAGATAGAAAGGACTTTGGATTTTTGGTGACTGAGCTAAAGAAACAAAACATCCCATTTAGGTGGGATGCTCCAGTTGGTATAATATTGAGATATCAAGGAGAAAGATATCAATTAAACACTGTTGAAAAAGCGGAAGAATTTTACTACAAGGTTTTTAAAATGGGCCCAACATCTCCACGTATGTTATCAGTGTCAGGAATACAGGAGGGGGATAAAGAAAAGCAAAATGAACAAGAGATTGAAACTCAGGCCAAGCAGATGGAGATGGAGGTAATGGAAAAACGACAAGTTATAGAGGGCTTTTTGGATGAGCCGCTTTTGGATTCTCCTTCAGAGGCTATAGCTGGATCACTTATAAATACAAGAGAGGCGGCTTTGGATTTCGATTCGATGTCTTATCAAGTTAAAAACCAGCATGTAATTCAATCAGCTAATATACAAGTCCTAGAAAGACAACCAGGGTGGAGATCTAAACCACAACAAGTTAAGAAAAGAAGAAGCAGGTTCTACAAAACCAAAAAAATTTAAACTACAATTCTTTTTTAGCCAACAGATTAATGCCAGTTATTTAAGAGACGATTAAATATAATAAGCGGGATTTATAGAAGGCTGATACGTGAAAATATAGCTGAGGCAAATTACAGACTTATACTATTTTGAGAAGAATGACAGATCTCTGCAGTGCTGGTGTTTTTGGGATGTGGAAGATGGCCTGTAATTGAGCGGATTGGAACTTTCTATTTTGGACTCTCTGAAAAATGGATTACGTATATGTTGAGCTATAAGGCAAGAGAACTATGGAATTGGGGCATGCAGATGATCTGGCTGTTACCCTAACGTGGTTGTTGGAATTAATAATCTAGACAAAAGACATTACAGAAAATACTATATGGAATATAAATATAAAGTCACTCGGGTTTTTTTTTATATATACAGAAATACTTATTAATGATGGGGGCAGATGGTAATTGAAGATACTGAATATACTGTTGAAAGCAGGACTTGATGTTACCCTAACATGGTCGATGGAATTAACAATCTAGCTGAAAGACATTACAGAAGATACTATATGGAATACAAATTTAAAGTCATTTGAGGGTTTTATTTATATATGGAAATATCTTTTAGTGATACGGGCAGAAGAATAAAGATATTAAATATATTATGTATGGTAGACCTGTAGGAAAGTGGGTGAAACAAAATTGATATGGTGCAAGGTGATAGGTAACGTTACTGATTGCTTAGTTTAGGAAAAGGGATGTTATGTTTAGATATTAATATACTTAAAATATTTGAATTAAGAGACATAGGGGGGGAAAATTGTATTTGAAAAACTTTTTCAATTAAAAAAAAGGGGGGGTCTTCATCCCAAATTGTATAGCTAAAAGTCTGTAGAGATTCACAGTCATCCAGATCATGGTTGTCCCAAAGGTGCTTTTTCAGGAGGCAACCAGGTTGTTGTTTTTTTCTTTTGAAAAAGTTTTGGTTTTTTTCTTTCTCTTTTCTTTTGCCTCCTGAAAAAGCACCTTTGGGACAATCATAACCTGGATGACTGAGAATCTCTACATACTAGCTGTAGGTGCTAAAAATCCAATGGCTTCATTTCTTTCCATTTGTTGGTAATATGATTCAGAACTTTTAGTGAAAGCTCCAAAATAGACTTAAAACAACTATTTAAAAGCTAAGAAATTCATAAATTTCCCATCATAAAACGAAGACTTGGAAAGAACTGGCCTCATCTAGTTTGCACTCTTATCATATCCACTGTTGTTCATGGCCACCCAAAAAGTTTGTGGTCAGCCCTAACACATCAAAAGGACACCTATGGAGATTCTCAATCCTTCAGGTCATGGTTGCCTTTTAAAAAGGCACCTGGACTTTCTTTATTTTTGTTTTGCTTCGCATCCAAGAAGCTTCTTCAGAACAGAGTCCAGAGGAGGAACAGAATATTCCAAATTCTCCAAAATGCCCCATTCCTGAAATAATTTGTTTTTCAGATCCTGTCAAATTAGGTACTCTCAAATTGTCCATACCTTCTTCTTTTTCTTTGTGAATCACTTGGAAAATATTATTTCTAACACATCAGGCAAAGACCAAATGTTTAAATGTTGCGTTTGTGGTTTATTTTGGCTTTTTTCTTGAAGCTCAAGGAAAGATGGGAGAGGGATAAGAACACCTCTTGGCCAAAGAATCACTCAGTGAGCTAAATTATCCATTATCTAAAGCACTACATAAACTGCAACTGATTAATATGTTTATTCTCCATGTATTTAATACAATCCATATCTGCCATATTAAATATTCAAACAAACAAAAACTCGGTATTAATTCTGAGTTCAAGTCCAGGATCAATATATGTAGTCCTGGACCTATAACTGAAGTTGTGCACTTTTGTTGCAAATATTTTGTCTGTTTTAATCCTACCTGTGATATTGCAGTATACCCATGCACTATCCAAATCAAAGTTGCTGGTAGTGGCACACCACAGCTTCCCATCACTCATGCCCTCTGCTGTACATATATTGTAGGAGATGCTTTTGTAGATGAATGGGAATACACAAAGTGGATTTACTATTATTAGATTAGGTTCTGGATCTTAAAAGAAAAAGGTGAAAGTAAGGCTAGGGATACCTTTCACGTTTGATTTATGTTCAGTTGTAAATACATGTAAAACTAACACAGAATGGAAAAATATTTATCTGCTTATATCCCCAGAATGATACTGAATATATTAGAAAATAATCAGGATCTATCTTCTGCAGGATCTATCTTCTATCTTCCCTCCTAAATAAATCTGTGATGAAAGACCATTTTGCTTTTATAGAAATAGTAGGATATACTGTATAGACTTCTTATAGACATAGATTTCCTAGGACATACAGATTCCAGGCATTGTAGCACAGCTACGGCTCTGTCAAACTCTGTGTTTCAGCTAATACTACTTTTTCCCATAGTTTATGGAATAGACTTCTGGATTATTCTGTATACTTTAGTATTAGTTAAACGATTTGGTTTTGTGTTAAATAGAGGTTTTGGTTAAATACTGCATTCTTTGTTCATATTGTAACTTTTGTGGCCCTCCATTTCAAAGTTTATAAAAATTAACATGCAATTATCTTTTCATAATTGTCAAGAGGATTGTATACTATAAATAAGAAACAAATGCACTTGGCAATACCATAGCATACACACTAAGTTCCCATCAAGCGGTTTCTATTCCATATATTTGGTAGGATAACTTTTTTAAGACTAGTCTCCATTCTTTGATCTAATTGTGCCCACTGCTTGAAAATTCACAAAACAAAGTATTCATTTTATTTCTTACTTGTGACATTACAATATTGCCATTTCTTATCTTTGTCATAGTTGCTGCTTGTGGAACACCAGAACTTTCCATTATCCATGTCCTCATCAATACATACATTGTAGAACTTGCCCTTGTAGATGAATGGAAAGACACAAGTTGGATCATCTTGCTGTAGCTCTGTTCCTGTTAAATGTTAAAATAAAAAGCAAATGAAGAAAGATATATGGACTTCCCAGAAGAGAAGCAGATACTGTTGTACCTTGGGATGGCATTTGGCCATTAAATGCCAGCATAACATATTTCAATGGCAAAATTTGACCACTGAATATAGAGTCATTGAAGGATCCAATCCAGTAGTAGATTGCTATCAGTTTCCCCTGGACCAGGCGAACCATAGCAGTGGCGGGAGGCTCCGTCCACCTGCTCGGACATCTCTGCGCATGCACAGAAGCATTTTGCAAACCAGTAGCGACAGGATTTGAATCCCACTACTGATCCAATCAAAGTCAGTCATGGGAACTAAAAGTTTATTCTTCCAAGGTTTTGGGCTTCTGCTGAAGCCCATCATCAGGGAACTTCTCTCTCTCTCTCCAAAGTATGTGCACTGGGTTGTTCTACATGCTGTATTTATACTGTTCTGGATTGTGTATAGCTTTTAGTTGTTAATTAGGATGTTGATGGCTGGCTAATTAACAACTGTATTAACAACTAAAAGCTACTGTTATTGGAGCAAAACAAACTAGTAGCATAAGATCCCTGCATTAAATCATCTGTTAAAATAGTTTATTTCCTCAAACGCAATTGGAAAAAAGGTTTTGTTTCTTTTTTTCCCCTTCTTCTTTTCTCTCTCTTACCTAATTCCTCTGGACAGAACTTCCATTTTTTGTCAAGATCATAGTTGATAGTGGTGGCACACCAACGTTTCCCATCACTTCGCCCCTCTGTTGTACAGCTGAAATACAGCTTGCCATCATAGACAAATGGGAAGGTGCAAGATAGATTCTCATCCTCCTCTTTTGGCTCTGATGTTTAATAGTTAAAATAGGAAAAACATATAAGAGAATACCAGTTACCCAGGGATAACTTTGCAATGTAGAAACCTACAACCTAAATTTAATGTGTAATGAAGCTAAAAGTAGATGTACCAGAAAGTGTCTTGCTATTTTTCTTATTTTTACATACTGAACATATAAAGTAAAATCCTGATATTGAATGGGGAGAGAGGGGTGGGGGGAGGGAGGAGTTTTTTTGCATGGCAGGGAAAAACTTTTTAATATCATTTTTCACCCAAACTCTCCAAGATTTTGTGGATTAATCCAGTCTCAGGGCATAAGTAGTGCTTTTCTTGAGTGAGCATTCAGGCATGGAACTCTAATAATCTATTTTACATTGGAATTATCTTTCTCCATGTCCTTAGGTATTGGACAAAATAAATCATTCTATCTTCCTCCACTTTCCTCCCATCTCACTTATAACTGGAAGAACTAAATGTTCATATAGGTGGTGTACCTCTCTTAAGGACCACAACTGGGACTCACAACTCTATTGCTAAGTGATACAGTTGTTTAGAAACTAATCATATGACTAAGCTGGACTTACAATGCCACTTCTACTGCAGTTGTTAAGCACAATCATTAAGGGACACACCATATGACCACGGCTTGTGATTTTACTGTCACCTTCTCCATTGATTCTACTTGTGGAAAGCTGGGCTGTGAATTACACAAATGGCAATCATGTGACCATAAGGCTCTGCAATGGTCATAAGGACTCACTGATGGCAAAGCACTCAAATGTTGATCATGTGACTGCAGGGATGCTGCAATAGTCATAAATGCAAGGACCAGTCATAAAGTTATTTTTTCAGTACCATTATAACTATGAATAATTGCTACACAGGACAGTCATTAAGTGAGGTCTATCTGTGTAACCTCTGCAGCTGAATAATTCCTTTATAGGGGCATGGAAAAATTAGTTTTATTCACATAAAACCTGATACCCCAAATGCTGACCATCCAATAAATACAGAAGTCAACCAAAAAAATTAATGTTCTAAGCACAACAGAAACAACATGCTTGCTTTCTCATGGTCCTAGGGCCAAAGTAACTACTATATTTCTCTATTATTATTTTTTTTGAAAAGTCTCTTGTACAAAAAGGAGTCTTGATTCAGGCTTTCCATTCATTTTTTTAAAATCCTGTCGTAATATCCTACTCCTTCTCCAACCTCCCCCCACCACTAACCAACATCACATACACATAACCTTTTCCTCTCATTCAGCACAAAGAAAAAGATCATAAATCCTTTGCATGCTACCATCCTACCAGAAGGTTCACAATAGGCCCATTGAAAGTCAATATCATAGTTCTTGGTAAGGGAGCACCATGGCTTCTTATTAGAAATTCCATCTGTTGTGCATGATGAATAAGACGTGTGGTTGAAGATGAAAGGAAAGACACAGGGTCCCTTAGGATTGGCATCTAATCCTGTGCAGAAATGAATATTAGTTTCCTTTAACAAGAGTATTTAGACAAAGACAAGAAAATGTCACCCTTTTTAAAGGGAGGAACACAAATTTCATCTATTTTTAAAATAAAAATATTTTAAAACATTTTTAAAAATACAAATCATAAAAAAGAAATTCAAGACACTTAAAACATTATTTATGAAAAGAAATAGTTATTGCATCTGCCTTTTCTAAAACAGATTAAATAACAACCCCAATATTAATATTAAAAACAGCAGGAACACATCATTTCTGGGAAAAGAACAGGAAACTGGAAGAGAATTAATCCGAAAAAAATGAGCATTCAATCAAATTTATTTTGTGAATAGTCACTCTTTCCCAGAGTGATGTGACTTGATACATTCCATTGGGCCAAGTATTCCAGAAGGTAGGTGTCATCATAAAAAATAAAATCCTCCCACCCCTCATTTCCCCAGGATCCATAAAGAAGGAAGGAGGGAAGCCTATCACCTTCCTTGGCTTTACAAGTTTACATCAGTATCTGAATTAACCCAACAGTTAAATCTGGTAATCATGCAGATTATGCAAAATGGACATCATAGGGCACCAGTTCACAAATCGCAATTTTCTATGCGAACAGAAAATTTCTTATTTGGATTAGAAATATGAGTGTGAAAATTGGGCCATAATTTTTTGTTTGTTTTCACTTTCAAAACTCCATGGCTAAGCAAGATCAACTTTCCTCTGCCATTATCTTATATCCTTTGCTTTACATGTATCAAGTTGTTCTCTTCTCAAATATTGGAAGAGTTTCTATTTCCATAATAATTTTTTTATTATTCTCTGTGTCCTAAATCTAAGGCCAGCCTCTTTCTTCCTTCAAATCCCTTGCCCAACTAAATTAATCCTTGTAACTGAAATATTCTCTAAATTGTTCTCTCTCTCCAGATTATACTGTACTCATTTTTAGTCATATTACTTTAACTGTGCAGCGGATGAATTTTCACACATTGTTAAATGTTTCCTAGCAGGCAGTTTGTCTCTCTTAGTACTCTCTTATTTTCTTTCTTACAAAACATTTTGTTTCCCAGGCCTGAACTAACAATGAAAAGAAGCTTTTGAAACTGGTGACTTGAAGACCTTGATCTCTTATATCCTTCTGTAAGACAAATAATTACAACATTCAATATCTTGTTCTTACTGGTGTCAGCACAGTAGCTCCACTCAAGATCCTTGTCATAGTTTCTTGTGGTGGCACACCAGAATCTTCCCTTCTCCTCTTTGGTACATGTGTAGAATGTCTGGTTTTTGTAGACAAAGGGAAACACGCAGGATTTGCCTCCAGAATTGCCTCCATGCTCTGAAAACATGGAAAGTATGGATTAGGGGAGAAATTCAGCAGGTTCTAGACAACTGATAGCAGAAATTTTGACTAATTTGGAGAACCGGTAGCAGAAATTTTGAGTAGTTCGGAGAACCAACAAATACCACCTCTGGCTGACTCCAGAGTGGAGTGGGAATGGAGATTTTGCAATATCCTTCCCCCAGGAATGGGGAGGGAATGGGGATTTTGCAGCATCCTTCCCCTGGAATGGGGTGGGAATGGAGATTTTGCAGTATCCTTCCCCTGCCACACCCATCAAGCCATGCCCACCAAGCCACACCACACCCACCAAGCCACACCCACAGAACCGGTAGTAAAAAAAATTGGATTTCACCACTGATATGGATATAGATGGAAAGAAATGGGAACAAGAGATAGCTAAGAACTCTGCTTGTTTATATAATTCCTGTTACATTCAATTCTACATCTTGTCTTTTCCATTCATCATTGTCAAATGAGTGACCTAAAGACAAATAAATGGTTTTAGACTTATGTGAAGAATGTTCTTTTTTGCCTTTAAATTTTTAAATCTTTCCAGTAATGATCGGGATGAATGATGCAATATATACCAATTGCTATACCAAGTACATATCAATGCCTAGTCAGTACATGAAGGACACAGAAGGAAAAATCTGATTAAAAACCCCACATGGAGTTAGTTAAGATCAGATCAAGAGTAGTAAAGAAAGAAATTGAAGAATTTATTCTACTGACTCAAAAACAAGCTTTACTAACTAATTGCATGAAGGCAAAAATTCAACATTTAACGAACAATAGAAAATGTTGACTTTGTAGTGAAATGGATGAAACAACTGACCATTTGATCAGCTGCTGAAGCAAAATTTCACAAACTGAGTACAAATGGCATCATGACCAAGTTGCCAAAATTATTCACTGAAAACTGTGTCAGAGGTTTGGATTCAAATGTAGTGAAAACTATGGGGATTTATTTATTTATTTATGTAATTGTTTGTCAACAAGTATAAGGAAACAAGTATCAATATAGACATGGACATGGTTACATGAAAAAATGGCACAAATAAATGGATATAAATAGGCAAAACATAGCCATAAACACATAGAATGATTACATATAAATGGGGACAGGGACGGTAGGCATGCTGGTGCACTTATGCATGCCCCTTTAGGGATCTCTTAAGAAACGTGTAAGGTCCACAGTAGACAGTTTAAGATAAAAGGTATGGGGGTTAGAGAAACTAACAACAGGATTAGGTAGAGTGTTCCAAACTTTTACTACTCTATTGCTGAAGTCGTATTTTTTGCAATCAAGATTAGAGCGAATTACATTTAGTTTGTATCTATTGATAGCCCTTGTGTTATTGTGGTTGAAGTTAAAGAAGTCATTAACAGGTAGGGATGTTAAGGTAGATAATCTTATGTACTAAGCTTAGGTCAGAATATAGACATCGTAGTTCAAGGTTATCCAGGCCTAAAATTTCATTGTGAGCAGAGGAATTGAGTACTCTTCTTGTAAAATACCTCTGGACTCTCTCTAATGTATTAATGTCCGAAATACAGTGTGGGTTCCAGGCAGGTGAGCAGTATTCAAGGATAAGTCTGGCAAAAGTTTTGTATGCCCTAGTTAGAAGTATAGCGTTACCAGAGAGAAAACGTCGTAAAATAAGGTTGACAACTCTTAATGCCTTTTTAGCAATGTTGTTACAGTGAGCTCTGGGGCTTAGATCTTTTGAAATGAGTACTCCTAGGCCCTTGATAGAGTATGGGTCATCTTTTAGATTGTTTCCGCTCAGCCTGTATTGCTGTTCCGATGTTTATTGCCAATATGCAGGACTGATCATTTGTTAGCAGAGATTTGGAGTTGCCAATTGTTTGACCATTCAGATACATAATCTAGGTTGTTTTGTAGGGTAGTAGAATTGCCTATGGTGTTAAATAGTTTTACATCGTCAGCAAAGAGGATGCAGCTGCTTGTAATATAATCACAAAGGCCATTAATATAAAGCAGAAAGACTGTTGGTGCTAAAACGCTGCCTTGGGGAACACCACTGTTAACTGGTGCAGGGTTTGATATAGCGTTTCCAATTTTAACTACTTGATGCTTGTTTGATAAGAATGTAGCTATCCACTTGTGCAAAGATTCAGAAATGCCATAAGAACTTAGTTTTAACAGATGTTAATTCATGTACCACTGAATCAAAGGCTTTGCAGAAGTCTATGTAGATAACATCTATTGCTTTTCCCTGGTCAAGTTGAGAGGTCCAAATGTTTTTGCAGTGTATGACAAATGCAGATTATGCAGATTACATGACAAATTTTTCCTGAAACCAAATTGCTTATCAGAGAGTAGGTTATTTGTCGCTAAGTGGAGGGTGATGGATTGGTTTATGATGGATTCCATGACTTTACAGGTGATGCAGCAAAGGGAGATTGGTCTATAATTCTCAACAAGGCTGGGGTCACATTTTTTGAAGATAGGTATGCCTGTTGCTAATGACCATATGTCAGGCAAAGAGCTCATTCTAAAAGATACTTCATAGATGGTGTTTAGAAGTTCAGCTATGGCAGAGGAGAGCTTTTTTAGAAAGTACGCAGTAGGCACATATTCCATCAGGACCAATAGATAGAGATGGCTTTAGTTTGTGTACTGCCCTTTTGACAGATTGTCAGGTTGAGAAGGTTTTAGAAAAATGAGTGGGTTAAGATTTTATGAGACTTTAAAATCCAAACAAACAGACATCTTATTCATAACATGAATGATAACACAGTTATTTAAAAGAAAAAAAATCTGGTTCATTGAATCTGCTATATTGGTGTCGTTAGGATTGAGGAAAAACAGTAGGGAAAAATTACAAAAACCAGGGCTTGCAAATTGACACTCCACATCTACAGAAAAAGAAAACTATTGTTATACCAATCATGATTGGAGCACATGGGACAATACCTAAAAGACTACCTCAATATGTGAAATTATTGAAATTATCATACCCAAATCCCCAATTTTACAAAAAACAACAACCTAAAACCCTCCACCCTGCTTGAACTACTTATATTCCTAGATACTACCTTAATAATTCTTAGGTCCTTGGTTAGAATTTGAATTATTAAATTCCCATCAATTTTAGACTGTGAATCTGTTAATTACACATACATAATAATAATATGTTAAATCAATCTGGAAGTTTCTACTCTTTGGGATTTTTTGTACATTACTTTTCTCTTGTAAAAAAATATATGAAATTATGCCTCTATGATTTGGCAATTTGCTGAATATTGTCACTGAAATCTCTGGGGTTCAAGAGGCTACTAAAAATTTGCTTACATTGCAAATTGTCCGCCCGTTTCAATCAGAATATTGCAGGCTTAGGCTCCAAATCAGGATAGAATTTCTTGCTTTTTAAGGCCAAATTACCCTTTGTCTCTCCTGATCTCTATTGGATTTAGAAATTACATGAACTGACTATTTTTTGAGGGTTGGTCCGGCACCTTTTACTACTGAGATGAAAGAATGGTGCTGCATCTCCATTTATTTATAGAAGTATTACACTCAAGCAGATCATTTTTCATTTGAGTGCTGCCAATTGGGTATTTTTTCCCATCAGATCTAAGTCTGTAGAGATTTTCAGTCATCCAGGTTATGGTTGCTGAAGAAGCTTCTTGGATGAGAAGCGAAATATCTTCAAAAAGAAAACAACAAGAAAGTCCAGTTGCTTTCTGAAAAAGCACCTTTGGAACATCCATGACCTGGATGACTGAGAATCTCTATAGACTTTTAGCTATACAATTTGGGATGAACACCCTTTGAATGATGTGGGAGTAGGACTGGATTTCCAGAGAAAGATTGCAGACTACAGGAACCAGGAGCACTACTCAGGTGATTCTAAGGACACAGATAAACCTCCAAGTGCTTCAACAACCCTCTAAAAGGATGCAGATTACCAGCTGTCTGCAAGAAATATAAATCCTTCCATTCCCCACTATCCTGTCAGAGCTGAAGAAGCTTCTTGGATGAGAAGCAATCGAAAATGAGTTTAGGGAACATAGCAATAACAATAATGTTATTGCTCTTCTCTCAAGCCAACTATCATGATGACGCTTCACCATATCAAGGATTAGGCTGGGGGATGAGAGGTTTATAACAGTGACAAACACTAGTCCTATCTTATCTTATCATTATCTGTAATGTTAATGCTATATTTCATATCTTGCTTAGAAGCCATGAGCCAGTTGTTCAAATGTAACCTATTAACCCATTGCCCAGAGAAGAAGATAGCAGATGGCAGATTTCTGGATTATTCATTTCTAATAGGATTCTGAATTACTTACCTTGAAGAATGCAGTGCTTCCACCGGCCATCTGTGTCATAATTAGATGTTGTGCTGCACCAGAGCTGCTCATCAATGGCTCCATCTCTAGTGCAAGATGAATATGGCCTCCGATTAAAGATAAAAGGGAAGACACAGGAAGAAGAACCTGGAGGGGGGGAAACTATGATTGAAATGAGTGAACAATCTATTAAAGCCTCAGAATCACAGAATAATAATTAAATGCTTGGAATCAAACTAATATGTTTCTAAATTATGCCAAGAACTGAGAGAGAAAAGGGCCAATCCTACCTCTCTTTCTGATTAAGTGATCAGCTAAATGGGATCATATATGTGAATCCTGAAGTGATATTCCAAGGAAAGAATTATCCAATAATGTTGCCCAGCAAATGCTACCATTTGTTGTTTTTTTAATCTTTATTTCTTACTCATCCTTACTCATTGATTCAGTTCCTGTTTTGTGCCCCCAGTTTGGAACTGCAAATCCTAGAAAACTAAAGTACACCTTTCACTGAATCAGTGATATGTCTGGAATTTCACTGGCTGAAAAATTAATACAAGAATTAATTTGCTGAAATTAATTAATTTGCCCAAAAACTCAGAGCGACAAAACAGGTATATTTTGAGCATGCTAATAAACTGGGGAGATGGCTGGCCTATAAACTGAAAAAAGACAAAGGAAAAAAGCTAATAACACAACTACAGGATGAAGAGGGGAACATAAAGCATCAGATGGGGGATAAAAAGAGAATAGCCCAAAATTTCTTTGGAACTCTTTATAGGCAAGAGAGAATAGAGGAAAATAACATTATGCAATACTTAAAGGATAGGAACCTCCCCATAATATTGGACAAAAGAAATGTTAAAGGACAAAATTATGATGATGGAGATAAAGACGGCAATTCAAAAGCAAAAAAATAATAAAACACCAGGACCAGATGGTATCCCCTCAGAGTTCTACAAAGAGATACAAAAACCATTGGAAACACGACTATTGAACATATACAATGATGCTTTAGAACAGGCAAAACAACCAAGGACATGGATGGAGGCACTGATAACACTTATCCCAAATGATGATACAAACACTCAACAAATTAAGGACTGTAGGCCAATCTCACTGCTTAATGTTGATTACAAAATATTCGTGACAATAATGTCCAGAAAAAATATTAAATGAAATCATTTATTTGGACCAAAATACATTTTTGCCTAATAGACATATAAGGAAAAATACACAGATTATTATAAACTCATTAGAATATTATGAGGCACATCCGGAAAAGCAGCTGGCATTGTTTGTAGATGCCCAAAAAGCATTTGATAATTTAAATTGGAACTTTCTTATCAATCAGTTAAAAATTATGAACTTTGGGGGAAATTTTACAGGTACGATTAGAGCGATCTTTTTGAATCAATTGGTGAAAATAATAATAAATAGGAAAACAACGGAGAAGATTAGTATAACTAAAGGGATAAGACAGGGATGCCCTCTGTCCACCTTTAATTTATACTATCATTGGAAGTATTACTGATACAAATTAGATAAAATCGAAAAATAAAAGGACTTAAAATCAAACAGGAAGAATACAAAGTTCAAGCTATCATGGATAATCTGGTTTTTATCATAGAAGACCCATTGGAGACAGGAACCATTCTAGTACAGGAAATTGAAGAATTTGGTAAAGTGGCAGGGCTCAAAATAAGTAAAGAAAAAATGAAAATGCTGACTAAGAATTTAACAAAAAGGCAAAATAAGGAAGAGAAATTGGGGATCCAAATTGTTAAAAAAGTGAAGTATTTGGGAATATGGCTAATAGCAAAATGCTCCACAATAAAAGAGGACAATTATGACAAATTGGTACAACAGATATAAAAGGATTTAGATAATTGGGCAAAACTACAAATATCTTTGATTGGTAGAATTGCTACAATAAAAATGAACATATTATCCAAATTGTAATATCTTTTCCAAACAATACCAAAAAGATTGGGAAGAATATTCTTTGAACAATTAAATAAAATAATAGATAAATTTATTTGGTTGAAAAAAAAAGCCCCAATAAAGCTTAAACTTTTACAAGTCTCTAGAATCAAAGGAGGCTTCGGCCTCCCTGATTGGGAATTATACTATCAAGCGGCAGCAGTAATAGAGTCCAATTAAATAACAAGAGGATATTAACTCTAGAGGGTCATGATCTCCAATTGGGATGGCACATGTTCCTGTGGGAAGGAAAAGATAAAACACATACATACTTCCAGAGACATCTAGTGCGAAATGCTTTGATAAATATTTGGATCAAAATTAAGAAAAACCATTATATTTAAGTTCCAATTTGCATATCAACAATGGAGGCAATAATTTATCCAAATGTATTAGATATAAACAAAGTGGTAAGGTATTTGGAATTATTAGACGAACAAGGAAATTTAAAATCGGAGCAAGATTTAAAAAATCAAGGAATAAAAATTGACTGGTAGCCATATCTGCAAATTAGAACAAAATATAAAAAAGATTGAGAACAATATGGCATTTATGGAGATCAATTGGAACTTGACAAAATATTATTAGGAACAGGGGAAAATATGATTACTAAAACATATGATCTATTATTAAGATTTAAAATGGAAAAAGAAAATGTGAAGGAGACAATTATTAGTTGGGTGAGAAATTTTGGACATCATATTCAATTAGATCATTGGGATAAATTATGGAAGAGAAACTACAAATTATTGATATCAGATGCTTATAAAGAGAACTGTTATAAAATGTTCTATCGCTAGCATCTACCACCAGCCAGATTGGCCAATAAAATAAATAAAATAAAATGGGGAAAGAATTACAATACATAACATTAAATATATTAATGGCAAGTAGAATTGCTTTAGCACAGAATTGGAAACAGACTGACACTCCTCTAGACCACATGATAATAAGGAAAATCTATGAATGTGCAGAAATGGATAGACTGTCTATGGAAATGAAGGAGAGGGAAGAATCCGAGTACTATCAAATTTGGAATAGATGGTATTCCTGGCCCGAGAGTAAACATAAAACCTAAAATATAAGTCGTAAACAGTATAATACATAGAATGTAAAATTTATAAGAAATGTATGATATTGATTTGTGAGTAGATATGATTATAATTTAAATAAGGGTACAACATAGGATAGTGATGTATATAAATAGAATTTTTGTAAATATGATTGTTATGAAAGATATGGATACCGATATGGAAAAGCTGTTATAAATGTAAATATGTGTTTGTGTTTTGTGTTTTAAATGTTGGAAAATTCAATAAATACTATTTTTTTAAAAAAAGAAAGTCAGGAATCAGCAACAGAGTGGTCAATGCCTGGAATGCCCTACCTGTCTCTGTGGTTTCATCCCAAAACCCCCAAAATTTTAACCTAAGACTGTCTACTGTTGACCTCACCTCATTTCTAAGAGGTCTGTAAGGGGCGTGCATAAGACCACCGCCTACCATCCCTGTCCTAATGTTTCCTCTATTCGTATTTATTTTATGTATTCAATTCAAGCTTATACTCATATATATATATATAAAACCTAATATGTTCTTGACAAATAAATAAAATAAAAATAAATTTTAAAAGTCTTAAGGGTCCAGTTTGTCTACTAGATGCTTAGGGATAATTGTGTTAAATACCAAACTGAAGTCAACAAACAGCATTCACACATGAGTGTTTCTTTCTCCTAAGTGCGCTAAATTCAGATGGAGAACAGAAGAAATAGCATCCTCTGTAGAATGGTTTGGATGGTTTAGAGTGATTTAGCAATTAAATAGGCTAAACTGTAAATAGATTATTTCTTAAATTTTCCCCACCTTTTAGTCAGCATGGTAGAAGTCGACATCTTACAGACATAAAAAAGCCCCAGATCAAATACTTAAAACATCTTTTAAATCTAATTTACCAAGCAAATTTCCAAAAAAACAATGCCCTTAATTTGTTTTACTGCATATAAAATTTAAAAGCCTTTCGCAGTATAGAAAGAAGTTGAATCTTGATCTAAAGGAAAGGAAAGGAAAGCAAGATGAAAGTATAGGAGAAAAGTCTTATGGAAAAAAGAAAATTTGTGTTAACAACCCCATCTTCTACAGGTGGAAAAATTTGGAAAATACAGAAAGTCCTTGACTTACAATAGTTCATTTAATGACCATTTGAAGTTACAATGGCACTGAAAAAGTGACTTATGACCATTTTTCACACTTATGACCATTGTAGCATCCCAACGGTCCCGTGATTTACATTTGGATTCTTGACAACTGACTCACATTTATGACCGTTGCAGTGTCACGGAGTCATGTGACCCCCTTTTGTGACCTTCTGACAAGCAAAGTCAATGGGGAAGCCAGATTCACTTTACAACTATATTACTAATTTAACAATTGCAGTGATTCACTTGACAAATGTGGCAAGAAAATTCATAAAATGGGGCAAAATTCACTTAACAAATTTCTCACTTAACAACATAAATTTTGGGCTTGATTGTGATCATAAGTTGAGGAATTCAAGTACATTCTTCCACTCTTAATTTGATGTCAGCATTGCCCCTTCTTACAACACATCAATTAAGAACCAACTAAAATCATCTCAGAAATATACATGCCTAAATCATACAATCCTTAGCTGCAGCTCTCTGAAAAGATAAATTGGAAAATATCTCCTGTCTTTAATGAAATGATTTCATTAGCACAAGAAGACTAGAGAGGTCCAAGCTGCAAGACCTGTAAGTTCAATGGCATGCCAATATTATTAGGTGATAAAGTTGGAGAGAAAGAAATGACCAGGAGTGAGAGAGGAGATGAGGAGGAGAAAGAGAGAGTACCCTTTAGAAAACTGAGGAGGAGAGACTGGAAGGGTTTTCAACAGCATAAATGGGATCTAACAGCAGATTGCCCAGGCTCCTTCATCTTCTAAAACCACAGTGTCAGTATTACCTTTGCCAGCCAAGAGAACTGGCAGAAGATTGCAGGCAAATAGAAGGCAAAGCAGGCAGGCAACCATCACTTCTTGTCCACCCAGTAAGCTGAAGTGAAAGATAAAAATGCTTCCTTCACTATATAACTTCTGCCCACACTATCCTAAACAAAGTAGAATATTTCCTCCCTTTTGAAGTCGTAAAAGCAGAACATTCTTTTCTTGCTTTCTCCCCTACTAAGGCAGCTGTGACTGTTGCCATTATCTCCTGGACCTTTCAGATCACCATGCACTGATGATCACATGAAATCATGACATGGATTGTGAATCCAGAATTACCCAATAGTAATAATATGGCATTTATTCCAGCTTGTTATTCCCAGACTGAGGCTTCTAAAGATGGGAATATACATGATGATGGGATATTTAATCCAGCAACATCAAATATCCCCAAATTGCTGTAGACAGATTCTGATTTCAAATTCGTATTAATATCCATTAATGGAGTATTGGAAAAACCCACATGAGGATGTCTCAGACTCCTGAAAACCTCAAGATACTGTATTTCCAAAAACTAATCAATAGATCATCCATTGAAAAAGGGAGCTGTTCTGAGAACAAAATAATGAAAGGTCACCTCAACTTTAGGTGCCAAGTCAACCACATCTCCATTCAGCAGACCAAAATGATAAATGATCTTCTGGAATTCTACTTTCTTCCTTCCACTCCTGAGGGTTGCTATTGTTTCTTGGACACACAGCTGGTTCTGGGGCTTAATGCTCCATGGAATAGTTGGAATCCTCACAACTCTGCTCCTTCTACTTAATGGTAGCCAACAGCACATTAGATAGTGATGTCAAATATCTTCCCAGACCCCTTGATTTTCCATGATAGACTTTTAGAGAAAAATAGATAAAATTAAAACTTAAATCTTAGGATATAACTTAGGATATATAGGATATAACTATAATATATAAATTCTGTGATGAAAACTTAGTCTTTACTTATCAACTGTAAACCATTTTACTGTCCACATGAGTTCTCCTCATTTCTACCAATTGCTGTTTATGCCCCCCCCCACAAGCCTATGTAAATAAGGCATTACGAACTCTAGCTGACCAGATTATGGAGGCTGAAGCCAAATACCCCAATTCCATTATTTTGGGAGATCTAAACAAAGCAACTTAAGGAAACAGCTACCAAAATACTTTCAACATGTCAATTGTCCCACTAGAGGCAATAATATTTTAGACCATTGCTATACAACACTAAAAGATGCTTATCGGTCATTACCACGAGCAGCTATGGGGCACTCTGATCATTGCATGATTCACCTTGCACCTACTTACAGGCAAAGACTTAAAACCACAAAACCAACAATTAAATCAGTGAAGACCTGGACGGAGGAGGCGAAGTTAACGCTACAGGCCTGCCTTGACTGCACTGATTGGAATGTTTTTGAAAGTATCTCTGCAGACTTAGATGAACTCACAGAGACTGTAACACAGGGGTGAAATGGTCCCGGTTCGGACTGGATCGCCTGATCCGGTAGTGATGGCAGGTGGTTCGGAGAACAGGTAACAAAAATCCATGCCCCCCCCCAATGCCCTCCCCCCGACCTCTTTGGCCAAAGAAGTTGTAGAAAAAATGCTTTTAAAATGTTCTGGCAATCAGGCAACTCAGCTGGAATCATTAGAGCCTTTTAAAAGCTCTGTTTTTAAAATGCTTTTAAAAGATTTTTAAAAAGCCTCTGACGATCAGAGCTGAGCAGCGCATAAAAAAAAAGATTGTGCCCCACAGCTGATAACCACCACCCCCTTGCACGCTGTTCTTCTTACCGTATGCCGGTAGTAAACCAGTTCAAATTTCACCACTGATTCAACACCATCATTCCAAACATTCTTCTAACTAAGCTAAACCAGCTAGCGGTACCTGAACATACTTGTAAATGGATCATAAGCTTCCTAACAGACAGGAAGCAGCATGTGAAGCTAAGCAGAATCACACATCAGAAACCTATACAATTAGCATAGGGGCCTACAAGGCTTTATACTTTCTCCACTTCTCTTTTCTCTATATACCAGTGACTGCATCTCAAACGATCCATCTTTTAAACTACTGAAGTTCACAGATGACACAACAGTGATCGGTCTCATTCGAGACAATGATGAATCTGCATACTGACAGAAGGTTGAACAACTACCTCATGATGCGACCGGAACAATCTGGAACTGAACACACTCAGAACTGTAGAAATGGTGGTAGACTTTAGGAGGAACTCTCCCATACTTCCACCTCTCACAATACTAGACAACACCGTATCAACAGTAGAGACCTTCAAATTTCTAGGTTCTACCATATCTCACGACCTAAAATGGACACCCAACATCAAAAACGTCATCAAAAAATCACAAGAATGCTATTTCTACGCCAACTCAGAAAGCTCAAACTGCCCAAAGAGGTGCTGATACAGTTCTACAGAGGAATTATTGAGTCTGTCATCTGCACCTCTATAACTGTCTGGTTTGGTTCTACAACCCAACAAGACAGACATAGACTTCAGAGGATAATTAGAACTGCAGAAAAAAACAATTACTATCAACCTACCTTCCATTGAGGACCTGTATACTGCATAAGTCAAAAAGAGGGCTGAAAATATTTACAGACCCCTCACATCCTGGACATAAACTGTTTCAACTCCTACCCTCAAAATGACACTATAGAGCACTGCACACCAGAACAAGTAGACACAAGAACATTTTTTCCCAAATGCCATCATTCTGCTAAACAAATAATTCCCTCAACACTTTCAAACTATTTACTAAATCTGCACTACTATTAATCTTCTTATTATTCCCCACCCAACTCCTTCCACTTATGACTGTATGACTGTAACTTTGTTGCTTGTATCCTCACGATTTGTATTGATATTGTTTTCTGATTGCTTATTTGTACCCTATGACTATCATTAAATTTTGTACAGTATCTTATGTTTCTTGAAAAATGTAACTTTTCTTTATGTACACTGAGAGTATATGCACAAGACAAATTCCTTGTGTGTCCAATCACACTTGGCCAATAAAAAAATCTATTCTATTCTAAAAATAGATTAGACAATGAATACAATATTTTTGAAGCAAATATTGGTCAAGGACTCAACTTTGCCTTAATATACTGTAGGTCTTCATTTTCTTTACTTTTGCATTGTTCTTCTATGGAGTAGTATGAAGTAAACAATATAACACTGATTATCTTATTTCTGTATTGCAGACAGTTAGACATGCTTGATAACTGTATGTTTAGGGAATGGTGAAATGGTTCTCCGGTGGCCAGAGCACTAACAGTAACTTTGTTCCAGGGTAGAGTGTATAGTCTATATACATGTATGTACATACATGTGCATGCACACAAACACACATGTCCACTATATGGGTAACAGAATAAATGTTTACTGATTAAATCAAGAGTAAATTTTTTTGAAGTCTATCAGGTTATCAATCTATCTAATATAGGGGTTTCCAACATGGGATGTGAGACGATATTCCAGGGGGTGTGAAAAGTTTAGAAGTTTCAAAATTATAGTGTATATGTGCAATTATATGCATATAATTATTTACTTTTGTAAGTGGCGTGAGAACATATCAGAAGCATTCTAGGGTGGAAATTATATCATCACCCCACTATTGACTCCCCCTCTTCAAAAATGTAAGACTCTGCTATAAGAGGCTTACCCACTTTTGCCCTTGTCCTGTGTTTCAGTTCTGAATACAGAGATGCCAACTTTAAATCATATTCCTCATGGCTCTTTTGAACTGATATATAAGTAGTAATCAGACTAATAAAGTTTTGTATATGACAATGGCTTAAAAATCAGTTACCCATTTGGACAAATTATTGCCTCCATTGTTGATATCCAAATTGGAACTTTCATATAATATTTTTTTCTTAATTTTGTCCCAAATATTTATCAGAGTTTATGTATTAGACATAAACAAAGTGGTAAAGTATTCAGAATTATTAGACAAAAAAGAAAATTTAAAATCGAACAAGATTTAAAATATCAAAGAATAAAAATTGCCATACCTGCAAATTAGATAAAATATAAGAATATAAAATATAAAAAAGATCAAGAACAATATGGCATTTATGGAGATCAATTGGAATTTGACAAAATATTAGGAACAGGTGAAAAAATGATCACTAAATCATATAATTTATTATTAACATTTAAAATGGAAGAAGAAAATGTGAAGGACACAATTATTAGTTGTGCGAGAAATTTTGGACATAGTTTTCAATTAGATCATTGGGATAAATTATGAGAGAGAAACTACAAACTAACAATGTCAGCTGTTTATAAGGAGAACCTTTATAAAATGTTCTATCACTAGCACCTACCACCAGCAAGACTGGCCAAGATATTCTCAAACCAATCGCTTGAGTGCTGGAGATGTGGTTACAAGCAGGGAACATTCTACCACAAGAGATAATTGAACAGAGAATAGAGTTGAAGCCGGAATTGTTTCTCTTGGGTATTTTTGATGGGAAAATCTCCACCCCGGACCACCCCAACGATGCCCTTGAAGTGATGTCCCAGTGCCTGGAGGCCGTACAGATCTGGATGGGGAGGAACAGGCTCAGGCTCAACCCATCCAAGACCGAGTGGCTGTGGTTTCCGACGTCCCGATATAGTCAACTAGTGCCATCGCTGACTATTGGGGGTGAATCATTGGCCCCTACGGATAGGGCTCGCAACCTGGGTGTCCTCCTGGATTCACGGCTGTCGTTAGAAGAGCATGTGACGGCCGTGTCCGGGAGGATTTTTCATCAGGTTCGCCTGATCCACCAGTTGCGTCCCTATCTAGATCGGGACTCCCTACACACAGTCACTCATGCCCTCGTTACTTCTCGTTTGGACTACTGCAACGCTCTCTACATGGGGCTCCCCTTGAGGTGCACTCGGAGGCTCCAACTGGCGCAGAGTGCGGCCGCGCGGGTGGTGATGGGAGCGACATGGAGTTCCCATGTAACACCTCTCCTGCGCGAGCTGCACTGGCTCCCGGTGGTCTTCCGAGTGCGCTTCAAGGTTC